GAACCTCTCAGATGCAATATGCTGGAATATGACCCATGAGATAATTATTGTTAATTAGTACAGTACTATTGTTATGTATCAATATTTATCATTATATCACTACTATATGATATTATGCTTATTATTATTACTATTATCATAACATTATATATATATACATGTGTATGATCAATGAACATACAATCACACATATATATATATAATATTAGATAGTGTATATCATATATCATATATCATATATCATATATCATATATCATATAATATATATTATATATTATATATATATGATCATGGGTCACATAAAAGCCCTATGGCTTTTCCCCAATGTTACAATCGTTTTTTTTGCTCCGATGGGATCCCAACTCCGTTGATAGAGCGCTGTTGAAATCAGACCTGGGTTTTTCGTGGGTACATGGGTCCAGTTCTAGAGAAACCCATGAATTTGTATGATATGGAATATATAAATATATATATATATATGTATATCTGGGTAAATTATAATGACCTCACTGCGACCTCACTGGAATCATGGTTAATAAGGGAAATTATCCCCAAATAGCCTTAATTCAGGTTAGTGAAATATAATAATGGATTTACCCATAAAAAATGGTGATTTTCCATAGCTATGTAACGAATTACCAGATGGTATATGATTTATATCCACATTTATGATATGGATATCTGTTTTATATTGTCTATGATTTGTCCCACATTCTGGAATAATCTGCTATTTCTGGATATGAAACATATGATTTTTTGTTTAATGGCCACATTTCTGGATTGAATAGCCAGATTCTTTCAAGTCATCAGTGAGTCTGTTGAGATTCTCCCATGTCATGGCTTATCATGGGCTAAACAAACCCATCTGAGAACGGAACCTGCCCAAGGCCGCGAGCGGCCTTCCAGTGCCAGTGCCAGCCTTCGGAGCTGCAGCCTAGAGGTGATTTTCCTGGGGAAATCAGCTGGGAAATCCCCAAAATATCGGTTCCAATGCAGAAAAACATCTGGAAATCATTATGAAATTATGAATATGGGTGTAACGACAATTTTTACAATGGGTATATGATGGTATATGGTATATAAATCATTTGACTATCATGGGTAAGTCATAACCATCTCACCGTTTCTTCGTCACTGGAAATGACGTGTTCCGATTTTTTCAGACGTGAAACCCAGAAGCCAGAAAATTCTGGAATTCTCATGGCAAAAAAACTTGACAAATGCCGATATGGAACAAAAACAACCATTTTGAAAAGGACAACAATACAGTATACCTTATATATATATGTGTGCGGCCCGAAATATATAGAACACATTTTTGATTATTTGACTATATTGACAGCAGCCCAGCAGTCCAAAGCATTCTTTTCCGGCACAACTTCTGTCAGTTTGCAGGATATTTCCACATCCCACATGGCATCAGGATTGTGGGCCATAGTTGAAGCTGAAGGAATACCCTCTGGTAAACTAACAGTTTGCTATGGAAAATCACCATTTTTAATGGGAAAACTCACTATAAATGGCCATTTTCAATAGCTATGTTACAAATTACCAGAGGGTAGGTGTTTATGGGTGTATGTGTATGTCTGTGTTAAATGGCATTCCAACACACGGGATGATGACTCCCACCGCAGGCTGTTCGAGGCGCAACGCACACATTTGGCGTTTTATTGTTTCCACGCCGCGAGGGAAACAAAAAGGGCCACATGATTCACATCTTGCGCTCGAAGAAGCGACGAAAAAAGTTTCCATCCAAAGGTTTCAAGTTTCCAGTGGATCAAACCATGGTTTTTGCGCATTTTTGGGTTCGAATTCCCTCAATCTTTATGGGAAATTCACTGGAAATTCACCATCAAAGATGGAGGATGATGGAGGTCATGGGATTCCTGGATTCCCCATGGGTTTTTGACGGGGATTTGGTCAAAGATACCATCAGAACGTGGATGGTGTTTTGAAATCCTGCACCAGATGGATGTAGATGGCTGTAATCCCATTGTAATCCCATGATTTACAGTGTTTTATGGTTCCCAATAGTTACCAACTGGTGCAGGATTTCGCAACTATCCACAGTATGTCACATGTCAGGTGTTTGTTTTCGGAATTTTTCGCTTTGGCCGATTTGCTGCCCCTGAGTTTCAGCCATTTAACAGCAGTCTCAAAGTGCAGCTCAGACGTGTTGCTTTTTTAGTGCAGGAAAAACAAGAACGTACGACATGGCAAAAACATACTGACATAGTGGGAAACATGTGGAAAAGCAACGTACGACATGGGAAAAGAACTCATAACACTAGAGAGGGAAAATGGTACAGTAAGTAGCTATAGATAATTATAGATATACAATGTTTTTTTCACTGTTAATTAACTGTTAATCCATGCATGTTATATGTTTGAAATGCATCATATTGGAAACTGATAGCTCGAGGGAAAACAGGATGTGCACCACTGAAAGAAAACAAGTCATACCGAACGGAAATGATCAGTTCATCCAGGGTGCTGTGACAGTACAGAATGACAGAATCAGTGAACCATCGAATTGAGAGAACATGAAAACATCAATTCTGGGTAAATTTCATCACGACCTCACTGTTCTCCCTCACTGGGAATAATGGTTAGTAAGGGAAATCATCCCCAGGTGGCCTTAATTCAGGTTAGTGAATTATTATAATTTGCCCAGAATCAATAGATATTACTGGTTGGTGGTTTGGAACATGAATGGATTATTTTCCATAATCTATGGGATAGTCCTTCCCATTGACTAATATGTTTCAAGATGGTTCAAACCACCAACCAGATTATATAATTACCCTTTGGTTATGACTAACATAGCTATGGAAAATCCACCCATTTTTAATAGGTAAGCCATCTATAAATGGGCCATCTATACCATGGCTATGTTAAATAACCAGAGAGTATTTAGATATGAATCATGAATAGCATCATATAGCATCTCTAAATATCTCTGGTATGTATAGAAACATGTAGAAACCATGGACGCTCATGGCAACGCTTCAACAAAAATCACCATTTTTGATGCTTATCCGAAGTTTTGACCATAGCGATGGAACATCGCCCATCGATGATTTACCACCAATCAAAAACAGGTGATTTTCCATAGTTATGGAGTTATGATGGGATGGTTCGTTGCTAAAAATGGCACCAATTGCCAATGCCAATTTGTTCGCAAAGCCACATGGAAGAAAGAAATTTCTCTAGAGGGTATTAGGTGTTTTTTCCGTTTTTCATTAGGAAACCCAGGTCCAATACCTGGACACATCGATAACCACGGCGCTGACCGCGTTGAACAACGCCGCACCAGCTCGTCTCGCCCGGCTGGCGCAAGCGTTTCGGCCGTTTCGGCGGGCGCCTGTACGAAGTATGGCGACTTGGACAACGGCTGGTGGCACTGGGTGGACAATTTCTAGATGTTTCTAGCAATTCCTTGGGAAACCAATGATGATTTATAGATGGTTTACCTCATTATTAAACATGGTGATTTTCCATGGCTATGTTAAATAACCAGATGGTAATATGATCCAGTGGTGGAGTGAGCTGATTTATGGCTATGCATATATTCAATATTGCCTTGAAATGGGGAGCGATGAGCTGCGAATTGAGTTGCCAAAACACATGCTAGTATGATTCTGGTTGGTGGTTTGGAACATGAATTTTATGTTCCCCAATAGTTGGGATGATCCAATCTGACTTTCATATTTTTCAGGGGGGTAGGTATACCACCAGTTCGTGATTCTGGGTAAAATTATCGTGACCTCACCGTGACCTCAATGGAATCATGGTGAGAGAGGGGAATTGTATCAAGATGAAAAGGGTTCTGCATAGCCAGCTACATCGTCCAGAATTGATGCAACGACCATGTCATCTTGCTCAATGACGCTCAAATCCAAACTGTCTTTGGTGCTTTGCCAGGAGCAGCCATTTGCGCATCCTTTATGCTAGGGCATTTGGTGTGCACAGCAGAATCAAGAGGTGAGAATACGCGTTACCTCAGTGTGTGATGCAAAAACTCATCTACGAGGCTCTTCGTTTAGTTTGCCGAAGACTTTGCCTTTGCCGAGGTTGGAGAAAACCGTGATGCTGTTTGATGCTGATTGCAGTTTACCTGAGAGTTTTGAAGATCCAGTCTCCAGTTTGTGAGCTTGAAACCGCCACCCAATTCGTGGACAAAGTGACTGATAAAAAAGAACAGCTGAACAGCTACTTGAAGGAATACTGGAATGGACTCGGACGGGACCAAGGGTGACGGCGATGCTGGCGGTGATGAAAAAGGGTCTCTCTTAAAACAGGGTATGGCGCGCAGAATGGCAATTTTCATAGGAAATCATGACAATTGGTTGGTGTTTTGGAACATTTTTTTTTCCATATATTGGGAATTTAATCATCCCAACTGACGAAGTCATATGTTTCAGAGGGGTAGGTATACCACCAGGAAATCATGATAATTAATTGGATTTTGGGCAAAGCCATGGAGAGGAAGATGAAACATGTCGCAAGCAATGTGTTTTGAGATCGTAGTGTTATATCATGTTATATCTATAGTCATAAGTTATGATATATGATTACAGTAGTAGGAGTCATCATTGCTAGTGTAAATCCAACACAATCCAACAGTACATCATGGAATCATGGAATATAATTGTGTTTTTTTTTTTGTTTCATTCCTTCAGACGCCATAGGTGTTCTCGTTAAAGTTTGGGGCGACCACTTCTCCTTGAAGGTCGGGGTCAATTTGGTCTCCAACGTGGGTCAGACCGCTCGAACATGTCATATTATTATGGACTTGGAATCTGAAATTACCATGATATATATATATAATTACACATATATATATATATACACACTAGATTCTAGATAAATAAACCAGGATATCAAAATAATACCCTCCGGTGTCATCAAACATGGCTTGCTGTAAACCCCCCACTTAGTTCGTGGCTTTTCCCGGCGAAGACTTCACGAGGCATCCTTTAAGGTGGGCCTGTGTCAGATGACAGCACGCAATGACAAGGTGCTGGGGTAGCCTGGTCGGATAGTGGGTCGATGGGTTAAAAAGGGTCAAACAAAAACTGATTGGTGGAAGTTTGGAACATCTTTTTTTCCATATATTGGGAATTTCATCATCCCAACTGACGAAGTCATATTTTTCAGACGGGGAGGTATACAACCAACCAGAAAATACTACGTGAGACTAAGTGACTAATTGGTGAATATGTAGGGTTAGCCCAAGGTAAACAAAAACACCTTCTCGGAAAAAGTTTTTGATCATGTACCCCAAAACTCGTCGTACCAAGATGGCTCGAACCTTCGGCCAAGCGAAATTGTGGGATATCTTCTAGCATGTTGTAGCCAAAAAGACATGTTTTCTTTCAAAGATGTTCAAACTAAATTCCAAAGATCAATTTTTCTCATTTTCCAAAAAATCAGGGAATTATTCATGGTAGAAAATCAAGACCTCAGGAGTATCCCCATAGCTGCTATCCATCCGATAGCCACACACCGGGCCGACTGAGACCGTTAGGAGGTGAACTTTGGGATTTGCAAAGCCTTGGTCTGCGAAGCTGCTGAACAGGCGTTCGTTTTTATGGCGTGGCAACCGGTGAGCAAAGTTATAGGTACCCGGCCTGGTAAACGTTTACGTAACTATGAAAAATAACCATTATCCTCTTTACAAATGGGGATTTGATTGGATATTCATGGTGTTTTAATGGGATTCAAAGAGTTTATGTTGGTAAAATAACATTTTTTATGGGTAAATCCACTATCAATGGTCATTTTCAATAGCAAACTGTTAGTATACCAGAGGGTATCTGATGGAAAAAAATGGGGTATGCCATGGTCCACTGGAAAATGATGAGCAATAGGATGTAGGGGTAGCCTATATGTTCTGGCAAAGCCGTGAATCACAACAATCCACAACCATGGTTATGAATCATGTGATATTTGATGATTATTGTTCTTGATTTAACCATTATCAATCATCTAGCCAATAATGGTGATTAATCATGGTTAATCATAGTCAATATGTTTATAAATGATGCTAAATAATGGTAATGAAGAATGATTGACGGTCAATATAGAATAGCGATAAGTGGATTATTAACGATGGTTAATAATTATTTAATGCATTTTAATATAATGATTATTAATGGTGATTAATGAGACTATCCTTCGGTTTCATCAAACATGGCAGGGGCATCTCCAAAGTAAGTGGAAATTGGATGTTTGCCGGGAACATCAACTATGAAGGATTCTGCAGTCAGCCATGGTTAATTACCTAAGGGTACATGGAATGTTACCCTTCTGCTATTTCTCCATAGCCATGGAAAAGAAAACCGTGGCCACAATCGCCATAGGCAAAAGTACTTTCATGGGTCATTTTCCATGGCTATGTCAAATAATCAGAGGAATCAATATCTACAGTCTACAATGAAGATCTGATTGGTGGTTTGGAACATTTTTTTTCCATATATTGGGAATTATCATCCCAACTGACGAAGTCATATTTTTCAGAGGGGTAGGCATACCACCAACCAGATGAAGATTGTATGTGGACGATATAACGCTAAGTACAAGCAGAAGTTGGAGGATATACCCAAATTCATTCAACCCATGTTCATAGGAATTCATATAGCCATGTAACAGTCATAAGGAATCTCATCGATTAGGTTGGGATGTCCAATGCATTGACTTGAAGGTCTGTACCAGCAAAATAGATCAACGGTTCATTATTCTTTTTGTTGCCATAGATTGGAATATATCAGCCCGTTTGAAAACGAAGAGTAGCCATAGGACGACTGTACTTCAGAATAGGATCGGATTAATAACCTTGAATCATTTTATGGCTTGTGAAGAGGGGGGGCATCTACTCCAAGAAGTTTCAATTCCAACATTCAGAAGTAGACATGAACTTTGGAGAACTTTGCTATCTTTGCCCAGATGTTTTAGTACTTCTGCCCACATTCGGTAAGTGGACGGGGTCAGGGTGGGTCTCATTGCCTCATTGGCGGGCGACAAGTCGCTGTGATAATCGATGAAAGACCTCCCCAAGCCTTATCATTGGCGCAACTCATCTCTCCTGTGTTTTCTCTTACCCTCTGGTTATTTAACATAGCCATGGAAATTTGTCCATTTATAGATGGTTTTCCTATTAAAATTGTGATTTTCCATGGCTATGTTAAATAACCAGACGGCAATTCTTATATCATTGATTTGGTTGAACATTGTTGTAGTTGGAAGTTACATGAAGTTCCATAAAGTTCCAAACTTACATATCTACAGACACAAATACATACACGTTTATAGAATCTATATAGAAACTTATTTTGAAACGTATGCATACGTACATACATACATACATACATACATACAAACATACATACATCCATCCATCCATCCATCCATCCATCCATCCATCCATACATACATACATAATCATACATACATACATACATACATACATACATAATCATACATACATACATACATACATACATACATACATAACACAACATAACATAACATAACATAACATAACATCCATCCATCCATCCATCCATCCATCCATCCATCCATCCATCCATCCATCCATCCATCCATCCATACATACATACATACATACATACATACGTATACATATGTAATGACTAATAATATGAGTGTATATATGTATATACACACATACATTATTGCGACAAGGTCACCCCAGCCGCCACATTTTAACATTTTTCCCAGGGCTGTCAGCTGGTGGCGCTTCCGGAGTGTTTCTCCTTCATCGGAGCGCAGAAAGGCGAAGCGCAGCAGGCCGCAGAGAGCCTGGAGGGGCCCACCATGCAGCGAGCCTCGAACGAAGGGACGAAGGGGGGGTTGGAGGTAGCTACCATAAGGTCTATGGTTTAAGGCCATGCCAAGGGAATATATTCCCAAAACAAATGGTCATTTTTTTTGGTCAAAAAGGTTGTGAGTTGATAGATGTTGATGGATAGTTGGTTGACTAGGCATATGGTAAAATTACTCAGCGAACTTAGGGGGTCGGTTTGTGTTGGGGAGTACCATATTTACTCTTATTTATATGTAGAATTTTCCATAATGATGTATATTGCATATCAAGAGAAATGGGGCTAACAATGTAATTAAAATTAGTGGTTTCGATAAGTGCTTTTTTCAAGATCGACATGGAAAGACTATGAAGGATACAAGCCGCCTGTTCCAGCCAAGTGGTTTTCATATACTTGAATTCTTAATGAGCCTTCAAAATTGGGGATTACTCTCTGGTAATCAAACATAGTCGGAAAATCCTCACTAGTTGGGAGTGACTTTTTTTTAGTTGGGACAATTTATCAAACTCAATTTGGGCCAGCAAGCCATGTTAGCCATGTTTGATTACCGAAGGGTATATTATTGAGATGACTGTAAAACCGGCATTACATGACATGTGCATGGACATTTGGATGTTCTTTGGAACTTTTTAGTTAGATGGCTGCCAGAAAGATGCGTTTGCGCTGTGGCGATTTTATGGTCATATAACATTTACTGTCTCTCCAAAACTATTGCTTGAAAACAGACAAAAACGACTAGCATGTTCAGTCAATGATTCTGAATGATGGTTTCCATATGGTTTCCATATGATTTCCATACGATTTCCGTATGATTTCCGTATGATTTCCATGTTTTTGTACATCCATTTTTCTCACTTTCGTGGCTCACCCGTGGAAGGTCACCATGTTTTTGTGCCAGGATATCGGGATTTGGCACGAGAGCAACAGATCTGGTTGTCGTTGGGAGGTGGCTAAGAGAAATGTTCGGCGGTGGCTTTGTAGTGGGACAATCATTAAACTAAATGGGGGAGAACCAATATGTATATATATATATGTATAGATGTATATAGATGCATATAGATGTATATAGATGTATATAGATGTATATATATATATGTATATAGATGTATATAGATGCATATAGATGTATATAGATGTATATATATGTATATAGATGTATATAGATGTATATAGATGTATATAGATGGTTTTAGATGTATATAGATGCATACAGATGTATATAGATGTATATATATGTATATAGATGTATATAGATGGTTATAGATGTATATAGATGGTTATAGATGTATATAGATGCATATAGATGTATATAGATGTATATATATGTATATAGATGTATATAGATGTATATAGATGTATATAGATGTATATAGATGCATATAGATGTATATAGATATATATATATGTATATAGATGTATATAGATGCATATAGATGTATATAGATGTATATATATGTATATAGATGTATATAGATGTATATATGTATATAGATGTATATAGATGGTTATAGATGTATGTAGATGTATATATATGTATATAGATGTATATAGATGCATATAGATGTATATAGATGTATATAGATGCATATAGATGTATATAGATGTATATAGATGGTTATAGATGTATGTAGATATATATATATGTATATATATGTATATATATGTATATATATGTATATAGATGGTTATAGATGTATATAGATGCATATAGATGTATATAGATGTATATATATGTATATAGATGTATATAGATGCATATAGATGTATATAGGTGTATATATATGTATATAGATGTATATAGATGTATATAGATGGTTATAGATGTATATAGATGCATATAGATGTATATAGATGTATATATATATATGTATATATAGATGCATATAGATGTATATAGATGTATATATATGTATATATATGTATATAGATGGTTATAGATGTATATAGATGTATATAGATGCATATAGATGTATATAGATGTATATATATGTATATAGATGTATATAGATGCATATAGATGTATATAGATGTATATATATGTATATAGATGTATATAGATGTATATATGTATATAGATGTATATATGTATATAGATGTATATAGATGGTTATAGATGTATGTAGATGTATATATATGTATATAGATGTATATAGATGGTTATAGATGTATATAGATGCATATAGATGTATATAGATGTATATATATATATGTATATAGATGTATATAGATGCATATAGATGTATATAGATGTATATATATGTATATAGATGTATATAGATGTATATATGTATATAGATGTATATAGATGGTTATAGATGTATGTAGATGTATATATATGTATATAGATGTATATAGATGGTTATAGATGTATATAGATGCATATAGATGTATATAGATGTATATATATATATGTATATATAGATGCATATAGATGTATATAGATGTATATATATGTATATATATGTATATAGATGTATATAGATGGTTATAGATGTATATAGATGCATATAGATGTATACAGATGTATATAGATGTATATAATAGATGTATATAGATGTGGAAAATCCAGTTTTTTTCGTCTGGAACATGATCTACATGTATATTCGGGTTTTCCACACCTAAGTGAACGTTTATTGCAGGGTATATAATGTGGGATATATCTATCAGGGTATCAAAAATGGCGGATACCACATGGTTGATATTAAATAATACACCTGAGGGTCATCGATCCATTTTCCAGTTTATGAATCATGATCCACACTATACCCTTTGGTACACCAAGACTTTGCTATACATGGTCCGTTTTTGTTATGTTTAACAAACAATGATTTGCTTGGTATGAGTATGGTCATTGACTTTGCTATGGTTGAATTAAATGGTCCATTTAGTGAACAATTCCCCCTGGATGGTCTATACATGGTCGTTAAAGAGATTGATGATTTCCCCCTAGCTATGGCGACCTGACCTTTGGGAGATGCATGTTGGTCAGACTGTATTAGTCACTAGTCACAAGATGTCGCCAGTGTACATCATCATGATTTGCTCATGATTTTTGCATGCTCTTTTTGGTTGTGACTTGTCAATACAATACAGTCAGGAGTGAATAGTGAAGAAAAGCCAGTCTTGTCAACAGTGAATAGTCGTTTGTCAAAAACGAAATGCCACGGTTTGTTGAGACGAATGGATGCGAATGCAAATTGGACTACCGCAGAACTGGTGTGGGGGAGGATGTTACAGAGAATGGCTGCAAGCACAGTACTTGAATTGATCAATGACTTTCAGGTGCTTGTGTATCTGCAATACCACTGCAACGACTCCAATGCTACTGAGTGGAGAAAGGGTGGCTATGAGGATGCTTAAGTTCATTCTTGTGGCCAGAATAACTGCGACACTTTCAAAACAAGCAGAACTCGATGCTAGTGATTATGGAGTCAGATCTGCCAGAAGGAGAAGCTGCCTAGTGACTTATTATGCAGTTGGAGGGCCTTTCACGGACACCTAGAGAGAAATTGGAGGTGCTTGTAGAATGGACTAGTCCAGTCCAACAGTGACAGTGCCAAATCAATTTCTTGAATAGTCAATAGATCCCGAAAGTCTTCGGCAGCACCTGCAATCAGCAGGCTTTCAAGAGAAGGTCGAGGGGGAGCCAGACAACAAGAGCCTTGGACAGCGACGCACGGGCTCTGAGGCTCTTCGCGAAGATGGTATTTCTGGCTAGTAATAACTGTTGGGTTTATGGTGATGAAAGAACTAGTTGTAAAGTAGTTGTTATATCTGATGGTTTGTGGATGTTTATGACATTAGCCTCTTTTAAACTAACAGTTTGCTATTGAAGCCATGGCCCAATCGAAATAGTGGATTTACCCATTAAAAATTGGTATATAGATTTTCCATATAAATCACCATTTTCCCACGGTTTTCCCTTGGTTTTCCAATTAAAAATGGTGGATGTTCCCATAGTTTTCTGTTAAGGTTCACCAGGCCGGGTAAACGAATATCGATACTCGCGACGGATCATCCCAGCAATCCCAGGAATGAACGGTTAGAAAAGTCGTCAGTTCACCAATAGTAATACCCTCTGGTCAACGTTAACATAACTATATGAAGAATAAACATGTTTAATGGGTAAAGCAACTATAAATGGCCATTTTCAATAGCTATGTTTGTTTACTAGAGGGTAAACTGGGATAATCTCTAGGTTTTTACTAAGTATAGGCTTAGCCTGGTTTACCCAAAGCACCTGAAATGATTCCTGGGATGTTCCCAGACATTTCAAGTGGCCAAAAAGGACAGCAACGATGCTGTGGGGATCGAACTTCAATCCAATGCCGCGGGGTCTTGGGGAACATAGAACAGCATTCAGAATATCCATAAATCTCCAAAGTTAAAGTTGGTGTTCAGTTTCAAAAGAATGGGGACACCCAAAGAAGTTGGTGGTTTGGAACATGTTTTATTTTCCATAATAAAAAAAGGGATAATCCTTCCCATTGACGAAATCATATTTTTCAAGATGGTTAAAACCACCAACCAGCCAAAAGAAGTTGGCATTCCTGCTCCAGTTAATGGAGAGACTCAGGTTGGGCGGAAGATAGACTGGAGAGTGGCTTTTGTGAAATCGCGACATCAACGATCCAAACTGCAGCGATTCTCAAACTGTTCCTACCCGCATACCAAAGATGTATACTAATTAACCTCCTTAGATTCCAGTGTAGCAAGGAATTTATAAACCAGTAAAGCTCGAGTTTTTTTTTGGTTGTTCTACTGGTTGATACATTTTATAAACCAGTGATCAGTGGGGCCGGGTGGCGCCCAGGATTTTGAACACCCACGTGGTCCTGAACAGTTCCGGCGAGATGGTGGCGGTCTACAGCACCTTGGTCGGAGGTCGGAGCTGGGAGGTAAGCTGGGACACTGGGCGAATGTTGGAGGTGAGATACCCAGCGAATATTTATTGATTAAAGGTATTCCACCTCCAACAGAGTATACACCCCTTAAGAATAACATGGAACAAAAACCGAGTTTTTTTGAAATTTAAATTATAAATCAATATTAATTATTTAATCAATATTAATTATTTAATCAGCTGTGGAATATTAATTATGAAGAATCAACACTGGTTGGTGATTTGGAACCATGGAATATTATGACTTTCCATTCAGTCGGGAATTTCAGCATCCCAACTGACGAACTCATATTTTTTCAGAGGGGTTGTTTTACCACCAACCAGAGCATTATTATGATTATGAGATTATACAGATGATTATATAGAAAGGTATGCCAGCTGATTATATAGATGTGCTGATTATGATGATTATGAGTATGCTTTACAATGGGGATATATTCGATGATCTTAGTACTAGCATAATTCGGATAGCTATTTAAGCCAAGAAGTACAATGAGATGGGGACAGGGGGAGTTCCAAGCATGACTCACGGTTGTGCTTTGCTTTTATAGAGGGCACCCCCAGAATCCACTGGTTAAGGGCATGCCGTTTGTTTGTAGACACACCATGATAAACACCCATGTTTTGGGGCTTCCATGGTACATAGTTTCTACCCATGATATCCAATGATCCAGTTAAGCAACCCCATTCTCCAGGCTTCAAACATCCATCGAACATCCCAACTTTTCCGGAGAATCCTCCAGATTTATCCAAAATCATTAAACACATATCCAACATAATTGCAAAATGGTCCAACATCATCCAAAAATGATCTAAACTCATCATGATCCAACATCATCCAGAAATCATCCAAAAACGATCCGACAGAACTTAAAAAATGGTCCAACATCATCCAATATGATCAAAATGATTCAAACTCATTCAAAAATAGATCCAACATATCTCCCAAAGTATCCCAAAGAAATCTCAGGAGACTTGGGATTTTTTGTTTTTTCAGGAAAGATCCACCTCTTCGACGCCCCCTTCACTGGGCTGGTGGAATCGCAACAGACCCTTGCGGGGGCCGAGGTGGGGTTTGAGCATAGAGGAGCTGGGAAAAACTCGGAAGAAATAGGGGTGATTTTCCATATGTTTTTTCCGTATACATAAATAAGTTCAAGATGGTGAAACCATGTTTCACCATATGGCTAGTTTTATGATGTTTTATGACTTTGGTTCGTCAAAAATGAAACATATGGTGGATAGTTTCTGTGTAGTGGGTTACTTTAATATATGTTTAATCATATATGAATGGTATAACTGGATCATTTCGTATGTGACTGTTACTTGGATGCGCATCCTATAGTTACTATGAGGTTTTGAGCCAAACTTGGATCGGCAGGTCGGTACACCCGACTGGACGGAGCCGTAATTTTTCGGGGCTATGTGCTGATGACTATGTGCAAAAGTTGAGAATAAAACTTACAAATCATTCCATGTCCTTTTGAGTTCTTTGAATTCCCCAAAAAATAGGGTCTCCAAATTAAATCCAGTGCTTAAAAGATTTTAGAAGTTCCAAAACCATCAAACTACCCTCTGGTAATTTAACGTAGCTATTGAACATCACCATTGAAATAGTGGATTTTCCCATGAAAAATGGGTGGATTTTCCAGTTCGCTATGTTAGTTTACTAACTCACCTAACGGATGATGGATTTGAAGAGCCTCACTTTCTGCCATGGAAATTGCCATGGGGCCATTGGAGATCAATTTTCCCTGGTGCCCTAGTTCTGGATCGCGTCAAGCAATGTGGACAATACACATATAATATATATATATAATACATATATATATATATACATATATATATATACATACATATATATATATAAGTATATATATAATATACACACTTTATATTATACACATGGCATATTCAAATGCTTTTTCTTTGAGCCACAGATATATATCGGTACGCCCGCCGGGTTCAGGTGGTCGCCTGCGATTCGCCCATGGGGAAACTGGGCGTCACGGTCTGCTACGACGTGCGCTTTCCGGAGCTCTTCCAGAAGCTGCGCTTCCAGCATGGCGTGGAGCGAGGGGGGGTGGGGCATGAAAGTTGGGGTGATAAATGTTGGATACATATTTTATACATATATATATATTATACGTATTATATTTGAAGGGGTATAGAAATTCATGATATAAACATAGATATAGATATGTTTACTACATATACATTTTGTATCATTTTGTAGGATCGAGGTGGGGTGATACATGGGTGAGCATAGCACTTCAATGCCAGCACGGGAATAGGAATGGAAACTCAAAGCCGAGTAAGTTGATGATGAACTCGAAGCTATGTAAGTTGAAAGTCTTTGATCCACCACGTGATTATCCATTGATTACCCATGAATTATCCATGAATTATCCATGAAATATCCATTGATTATCCATTGATTAACCAGGCCAAGGAACCATTGGTGATTTCAGAACCACCATGGGAAGGATCCCCACCAGGCCCACAACCGATCTGTCCCCGAGTTCCAGGCCAGTCCCTTGGGGACGAAAAGCCTATTGTTTTGTGGCCCCAAATCAAAACCATGATCAAAAATAGATAAACATAGTGGTTCTTCTTGATTTAATCAGATTTTTCAATGTCGATTTCGCCGATTTTGATCATCAATCAAGCCTGGGCTGTTCATTTGCTGGTCACTCGTCGAATCGGCGCCGCGTCGCCGTTGATCGCACAGGACATCCTGCTCATTCCTTCAGCCTTTTCGATGCCAACAGGACATTCGAATGCCGGGGATGGTGGGGGTGGTCGCCCAAACCATAACTGGTGGATGGAGATTCCCCCTCGAAAAAAGGGTGACTTAACCCATCCCCATGTACATAGTAGCTGGGGGTTTCAGTCATCCCCAAAAATGGATTGTTTATTTAACGGAAAATCCATCTAGAAAGATGGCTGGGGATACCCCCATGACTTGGGAAACCTCCATTTAGAGTGAGTGAATTTCCACTGGCTACGTAACAAGTTACCAGAAGGCCAGTGGCTGTAGTTGGGATAAAGTGAAAAACTTCACCGTTCACCGCCGTGGGGATTGAATGGATTGAAATGATTGAAATGTTTAGCCCCAAGTACCCCCAGTTTTTTGGCCGGTTGTGATGGCCATTCGCATCAATGGAAAGACACAGATTAGGTGAGATTAGTGTGTTCGTGGGGTAGACTTTGTCCCATTGATGGCTGGTTGATGGTTTGGAACATTTTTTATATTCCCCAATAGCTGGGATGATGATCCAATCTGACTAAGATTTTTCAGGGGGTTTGAAACCACCAACTAGATGGGATTGTAGGTTCCAGAAGTAGCTGATGTCATTGCTAACCTGCAACCAGAAATGGCCATCCAAAGCGTTGATAAGATGTTTTTTGCTGCTTTAACCAATGCTTCTATCGTTCCAACCCCTATGTCTCTTGATGAACTACCCATTTCGGTTGAAGACATCCCCGCTTTTGCTTGGTCAAATGCACTGTTTTGTTTTTTTTCGAATGTCCCCAGCAAATACGATGAACTCCCTAATGATTTCCACATATGTTGGACATCGAAAATCACCAAAAACATCCACATAAAAGTGAATCATAACTATATTTATCACTACATGTTAGCCATATTTAGCCATATATTTTACATGTGTTCATCATTTTTTCATCATTTGTTTCTATATTCCTATAGGGACCATGGATGAGGAGGTGGTCACCTTCTCGGTCTCCGGCAGGTAAGGCTCATTGGGAGCTCCTGATGCGCACTCGAGCCTTGGAGTGTCAATGCTACGTGCTGGCGGCCGCGCAGGCGGGGTTCGTTAGGTCCAGCCACGAGATGATGAGTTTTTTTTTCCACTCCAAGTGAAAATTCTGATGGTTTCCTCTAGGGTCTAGAAATCGGTCTGGATTATCCATGTTTGTTCCTATTTCTATTTGATGATCTACTAGTAATTGGGATAATATTTTGCTTTAGGAATATCCACCAAGCAGCTAACAAACTCTGATTTCTTTGCAGGGTATGAGATTGGCAATGTTTGAGGGATGTTTACCCAGAAAAAACATGATTAACATGACACACTGGGGCCTTGAAGATGCCAATTTAGTACAAATTTTCCTGGGTGAACTGTTAAGGTTTCTGGGGGATATATCACTGCAGGTACATGGGCAAAACGAAAACCAACTGAAATAATAGGGGGGGGGCACCACTTTGTAGGGGAAACCACCCCATTAGTGTTTCAGATTTTGGAGTTGTTATGAGTTGCCGAGAGGCTTGGATATGCTTGATGCTTAGGTATGTAATTACTGACCCAGATATAGCACTGGTTTATCTTTCTGTCAGGTAGAACCATGGTTCTCAGCCACATACCAAATGTACTGCTAAAGACACTGACTCATAATATGGGTTTATCCAACACTTGTTTGCCCCAAAGAATTTCCCTCCGGTGTTAACATGGCTGTCTGGGAAATCCTCCATAAATGGAGCTTCTCATAGGATAAAATAATGGGAACATCTATAAATGACGGATTTTCCACTGCAACATTTGGTTACCAGATGATAAGGCAAGTTTTTTTTGGTCATTTTGTCTGTTTAAAGGTATCCAGGGTGTCCTGTCACAATGGTCTTGAGTATTCCTATGGTTGTCGGTCACATCACCATCTTACCGCAGTATTCAGCAGTCTTATTTTCAGTGATTGTTGCTATTTGTTGCTTAAATAACCTACAAAAAAAATGATCATGGAAAATCTCAGTTTTGGTTGATTTCAAGTTGATTCCCAGTCCTTGGTTTTTAAGTTGTCAAGTTTTCTTTTTGGCGTCTGTGAGAATGAGTTGATGGCCTGGATCTTCCAGCCACATTTGATTTCCAGAGGGGTAAATCCCATGAATCACCAGGGCTATCACCATATATCACCATTCTTAACGCATTCTTCACCATTACCAACCATTATTAACTGTTATTAACTAGTATTAACTATGATTAACCAGTATTAACTATTATTAACTATTATTAAACCATTATTTAACTAGTATTCACTATATTATTAAACCGTTATTAAAGCATTATGAACGACTATGAATTAACCACCATGAACCAATCTTGGAGCCTTGGAGCCGGCTCCAGCAGCGGCAACCGCTTCCGCGCTAGGCGGGAAAGCACAACGAGGACGGCAACCAGCGGCAATCCTGGGGCCATGCCATGGCCGTAGATCCCTGGGGCAAGGCGACTTTTGCGACATGGGGACAGGAAAATCCAGGGATAAAGGCCGGCAATTTGTGATTTTATGGTATTTTAATGGGACATAATGGTATTTTATGGTATTTTAATGGGATTTAGTGGGATTTTATGGTATTTTAATGAGATTTAATGGGATATATGATGGTTACCCTCTGGTAAACAATTACATAACGATCTGGGAAGATCCACCCATGTTCTAGCTGGGTAAATCCACTATTTCGATTGGGTCATGGCTTCAATAGCAAACTGTTACCAGAGGGTAAGCAAAATCTTCGAGCTGTGCCCGAACCTGGCTGGTTGATGGCAGAGTCACCATCACCGTAGCGTTGAATCGTGAATATGCAGGCTTTATACTAGTTGGTGGTTTGGAACATTTTTTATTTTCCATCATATATGGGATAATCCTTCCCATTGACGAACTCATATTTTTCAAGATGGTTCAAACCACCAACCAGTATATCTGAAATCCCAATTTCACAGAGATACCTCGCCATTTGTTGCTGGTGTGTTTCTGTCTCTCTCTTAAGAATAATGCTAAAAACACAACTCGCTAATACATAAACTACCCCAAAAATCTATGGGTTACCCTTTGGTAATCAAACATTGCAATGGAAAATATATCAGTTATACATAGATAATTGTCCCATCAAAACATCATTTATAGAGGATTTCCCAGCCAGCCACGTTTGATGACAGCGGCGGGTGTGTGTGTATATATATAAGTATAGATATAGACACATATATAGTCCCATTTATTATATATATATATTACTGTACATTATTGTATCCCACTATATATATATATATACATAGTAAGTCATTAAGTCCCCATTGTTTCTAATCCAACTAATCATTCAGGACCATTAATCACCACTAATAAACATTATATAATTACCATTATAAACCCCTATGAACTACCCAAAGTTCTATGGATTCTGTATAGGGCTTCCCTCTTTTTTTTTTGTCAACCTGTCCCCCGGTTCAGGTTCTGGCGGAGTTCGACGGGAGCAGCTCTGGTGTGAAGGTGGTGGAAATTCTCCCAGAGAAATTGCAGGCGCAGCGGGAAAAAGCGGCGCAGCAGAAATGGTTGGGGGATTTATCCAACTTGGATAATTAATCATCCCACTTGGGGAAAACATGGAGAATCTGTTGGATAATTAATCCTTCCCATTGACGAACTCATATTTTTCAAGATGGTTAAAACCACCAACCAGGTTATTATTAACCATATATTAACCATATATTAACCATATATTAACCATATATTAACCATTAGTTGCCATAGTTCGTTCACCCATTTAAATGGGATGACCCGAGGAAATGGTCATTTACGCCTTAGCCAAGCAACCACGATCCCTGGGATGCTCCAAGTCGGGAGTGCATCCCAGCACTGTTCCAAGCCCCAATGGCAGGGTCTCTGTTAGTTCGAGGATAGCAACCATGAAAATGTGTGGTGATATTCGCCCAATCAATGGGGATCTAAGATGGCAGAAACAGAAAAACCGAAGAAACATCAGGAGATCTGACATTATATGGACCAAACCTGTGCTGAGCTCACCATGCCGACGATGGTTATCAGGAATCATCGACTTGAAAAGGGTGTTGATGGGTATCAACATCAAACAACGGCAGTATTGTGGGATAGAACCAGGATGTGAATATACTTCTAACCATCCCATCTCCCTAGCACACAAATTACCCTCTGGTAAACTAACAGTTTGCTATGGAAAATCACCATTTTTAATGGGAAAATCCACTATTTCTATGGCCATTTTCAATTGCTATGTTAGTTCACCAGAGGGTATATCAAAAAAATAGCATTCCTTGCTCGATGAATGCCATGATGACTTCACTGCGACGTCACTGCAAGTGATGGTAAGAAAAAAATGGGGTTCTGCAACTATCCCTTGCATTGCGTTTTATTTTAGGTTAGTGAGTGGATTATTATAAATCATTATATTATATCCATGGATGAAAAATAAAAGATTACAATCAGTGAGTGGATTATTACAATCATTATAAATGATTCAAAACCCTCTCAACCCAGCAACCCCTGATATTTGGTCAGACCATGCAGAAAAGCTTAGCAAGTTTGGTGGTCAAATCCCAAGTCCAATTTCTTCCAAATTTCAAAGTCAAAAGTCCGAGGTCATAGTATTTTATCATATATTTAAAATATTTATATAACTACCATTTCTGATGGTTATATGATATTATATGTATGTATATATATATATGCATAGGCTATATCCGATAATGTATGTATATATATATATATATACAAATTCATATGATATATATATATATAACATTACGCAGCTTTTCTGAGTCACCTGTCGCTGAATCCCCCAAGGAGGTTCGGCAGAAGATGCCTTTGGCCGACCAGCGGCGCTACGACATCTACGGTGGCGCGCGAAACGTGCCGTCGGAGTGAACGGAGTGAACGAAACGCGCGCGGGCGCAGCTGGAGTCGCTGCATGTCTTTTTGGATTTTAACATCTCACCAGCCAAGTTGAATATACCCTCTGGTAAATTAACAGTTTGACCCTGAAAATAACCAATTTTTAATGGAAACTAGTCTTCCAACCCCGACAACTGGCAGGGTCTATGTTAATTTACTGTAGGGTAATGATGGATTTAATGATGGGATTTTGGATCATTGGGAAACCACCAAATATATAGATGTACCAAAATTGCTTTAATGGGAAGAATCAACTCATTAATGAAACTTTTGATGTATAACATCATTAACATAATAATGATAATAACTGTTGATTGATTAAGTACTGTACTGAAAATTATGATATACCTTTGTAATGGGATTATCCCATTGATTAAGCATTGATAATAGTATTAAGGACAATTACTCTTCATTAATCCCATGATAATACTATTGATAATCTGGTTGGTGGTTTGGAACATCTTTTATGACTTTCCATATATTGGGAATGGAAAAATAATCCCAACTGACGAGTTGTCATATTGTTCAGAGGGGTAGGTCAACCACCAACCAGTACCCTCTGGTAAACTAACATAACTATGGAAAATCACCATGTTTAATGTGAAAATCCACTATAAATGGTCATTTTCAATAGCTATGTTAATATTACCAGAGGGTAATACTTTTGTACTCAACTTGGGATTCTCAACTTGGGATCATCCCAGCAGTCGATGTATGATGAATCTCGGTGTCAAAGATCAGAAGTCATAGGGCTACCCTCTGGTAATTTAACATAGCTATTGAAAATGGCCATTTATAGTGGATTTACCCATTAAAAATAGTGATTTTCCATAGCTATGTTAATTTACCAGAGGGTAGCCCCAAATCATCCAAGTCATTACACCATCTTAGTATTGAAACCCAGGGTAAGGTTACCTCAATTTGTTCAAGGAAACCCCCATATATCTACAGTCAATGGACTTCATACACTGCGGGGCAGCACCTTGTAGGAGGTTGACCGGGTTGACCATCCAAGAGTCTGGAGTTGAGCTGCAAATAGATTTCATCAGTTAAAATGCGGCAAACTTGGAGATGTTTGTTGAACATTGTTGAACAACATGTTTGTCTTAAAGCAGTCACATATATATATATATATAGCTTCAAGTTTTAGGAATTCGGCAGTAGTGAACCATCGAACTTTGGGGGTAGCATCTCTCGATTGAGTGGAACATGCAGTGATTGAATTTTGAGATGAAACGACACTTCAGTATCCAGAAAACTCACGTCTTGATCCCGTCGTTTCCAGTAAGTCCGCTTCGAGGGGTTTCAGAAGCGATTCGAGAGATAACTTGTGACACGGACTCTGGGAAGATACCAAGTACAAAATTTGGGTTTGTGCCACCGCTGTCATTGTACTGTTTGGCTCCAATACAGCTTATCTCGTCGACGTGCAACGTAAGCGTCGTTTTGCCGCTGGGCATGAAGTGTGGTAAAGTGTTTGGGGGAGGGCAGTGATGGGATGTTAATCCTTTGGTTGGTGGTTTAAAATATGTTACCCTCTGGATTTAACATAGCTATTGAACATTGCCATAGAAATAGTTGATTTATCCATTAAACATGGTGATTTTCCATAGTAACCTGTTAGTTTGCCAGAGGATAACCATCATATATCCCATTGAATCCCATTAAAACACCATAAATATCCAATCAAATCCCTATTTATAAAGAGGATAATGATAATGGCTCAAGTTTACTAGGGTAATGTTCAACCATATCATTTTTGGGATGATGCTCAGGCAAGAGAGATAGCCCAGCACCCCGGTGGGCTGCTTGTAACTGGGGAACATCAAAAGAGCCCAGTTTCTTGTTGAATTTCCTGGTTTTCTTCATGCAAATTACAGGTAAATCTCCACTCTTGTTTTGGTTTACCCTCTGGTAAACTAACATAACTATGGAAAATCACCATTTTCAATGGGAAAATCCACTATAAATCACCATTTTCAATAGCTATGTCACAAATTACCAGAGGGTACCCCAATGTTGTCCCCATTCCCCATTCTTGTTGTTTTAATCGTCCATCTGTCGAAATCCTATAATTTTTCAGGCAGAATTTCAGGAAGATTTGGATGTGCAAAAGCTCGTTAAACAGAAGAATTGATGAAGACCAAAAAAATGACCAAATAACATCACTCACCAGTCTAGGCTCAGATATATCATGACATAATGTTCCAGTTGCATCCAAATATCTGGGTAAATTATAACGACCTCACTACGACCTCACTGGAAATCATGGTTAGGAAGGGAAATCATCCCCAAATGGCCTTAATTCAGGTTAGTGAATTATTATAATTTACCCAGAAATATCATCCGAAGAGTGAATACCACTGATACTGATACAATTTTCTTCAGAGTTGAAGGTCCTAGATGCTGCTTCTATATGGAGGTGTCCTAAGATAGGCTCAAAAATCCCCCCCAAATCCTGCACTTTGATAGGTTTTTTCACTCTAAATCATCCATTCTGGTGATTTTGCTGTACCCACATGTTCGAAAACGCCCATTTTCGGAGCACCCAATTGGATGAAACGCCAAGGCACTAGACGAACGCACAGGGTTCTTTGGTTATCACACAGCACCACAGGTTCGTCGCCCGACAGGGCGGCCAAACGGGGATGTTGAAAAGCGGGCTTCAGCGGCTGGTCATGCAATGAAGTGAACTACATAAGGTTAACTATATAGATTGACGTCATTATATGTCAACCATATTCATATAATTCACTGTCATATTGTATATATATATATACATGTTATATAATGGTTTTGATATGTTTTGATAAAACAAATTGGGTGTCGTATGTTTTTTTCTCATCAAAACATTGGGGGGGTTCAGGAGCAAAAAAAAGGGGATTCAACATGATTCAAACATCAAAGATCACAAGCCTTTACCTTCCAAACAAGGCTATGAATCATGCAACAAGGTCACAGAAATCACAGCCTTTGGCAGGGCTTCATAGCCCCCCCTAGCAGTTTAGCATGAATTCACTTGCCGCCAGCGCTGAATCTAACATGTCTTAACCTATAGATTTTTCCATATAAAATCCAACTGATATTGAATATATATATATATATGTATGTGTATATATATATATATATATTACTGGTTGGTGTTTTGGAACATTTTGTTTTTCCATATATTGGGAATGTCATCATCCCAACTGACGAAGTCATATTTTTCAGAGGGGTAGGTATACCACCAACCAGAGTATTATGAATATGATTATGAGATTATATAGATGATTATATAGAAGGGTATTCCAGCTGATGATATAGATGTACTGATATGTATATACTGTATATATATATATATACTATGTAGACATGTTTCCTCAAAGAAACTGTAATTATCTTCAGAATGTGTTGGGTCCTGATATGATATGATATAATATAGGACTTATATAATATTGTATAATATAATATTATATTATATAATATGATATAGTATGATATAGTATAATATATAATGTAATATTATACTATTATAATATAATATGCACTGGATGGTTAGCAGGGCTGTGGCATAATGTTCCCCATTTCCATATGTCGACCTCAGTCCATCCGCTTCGCTTCAGTCGAGCGGGAGTTTTCATACCTTTTTGGGCGGCGAAATCTTCGACATGAAATCATGAAACAAAAGAATTATAGAAACTACATCAAATATCAACAAATTACAATAAATTACATGTACAATATATATATATATATAAAATATACTGTATACAATATACTATATATATATATCTCTTTCTGAAATCCCATTTTGGGTCCATGTAAATTGCCCTTTGAGCCATCGTAGCTGGCAGGACGTGATGGAGTCAGTCCTTCAGGACGGAACTGGATTGATTTAGGGGAAAACTTACGGGAATCCCCATATTTCAGTGGGAAAATCTATGGTTTATTGAAGATTTTTCCTTTGTTCCAATCCATTCAGATATCCGGTTCCAACATGTCAAATCACAGGTAGAAACTATTTTGTTGGGTCAAAAATCTGCGATTTCGTTTAGCCCTTAATGGGGAAACAACCATCTTGAAAGGGGGATATATAGCCATTGGGCCATGACTGTGATAAAACCAAAACCGTAACTGATTTCAATGGTATCTATAATCTATACATTCAATCTGACTATACCCTAGGGATCAATGATCCCCATTGTGCAGTTTCAAAACCACTGTTCATGCTTATATTATCTTTTAATGGGATACTACTGCCAACCCAAAATGTGGGTCTCCCGGTGATGTGAGCGTTGCTTTTTGTGCACTTCATGAAGCCCACCGTGTAGATCATGTCAAAAGATGTTCAAAACGACATCCATTGCTAATGATGACTGGCCAGGATTTGGTCCATTTTGGTTCCAAAGGACCCCATGTTTCCCTGGTTTGCGGCAACCTGTACAAGATGGTTCCCCCAAAACGCGATATCTCTTTGTTTTTGAAACCCATCTAACTATTGTATAGTTATTGCATCACCATATAAACCCAACAACTAACCTAGAAGGTGGTGCCCCCGAAGTTAGGTTTGTTGGTTTATAGACCATAGCAACTAGTTCGATATATCTGCCATAAACCCTAGCTCTTGGATGCTCTTGGAGTTATGAACCAATTTCTCTCCCATCAAGCATAGAAGAAAAAACACTAAGACATAGGATCAGCATATGGCTATGGATCAATACCTATAGATACAGTTTATTAGGGGGTTATTCACATCCATAAATCCCAGCTATTTTGATGTGAACTACAGGGGTACTATTGGTTTTGACCCATTCCCATATGGTCAAATCATCACTTTCCCATATTTTTCCTATAGAAAAGTCCCATGTTCTTGGTGAAGGAGTCGCTTCCTGCTGGTCGATCTGGTCGATGGGTTACTTGATTTGCAACAAATCCACGAAATCGAATGGCGGTTTTTTGAATGGGAAACATATGGAACATATATATATATATATACTGGTTGGTGGTTTGGAACCATGGAATTTTATATTTTTCCATATATTGGGAATGTCATCATCCCAACTGACGAACTCATATTTTTCAGAGGGGTAGGTATTCCACCAACCAGTATATATGGGACATCCACTGGAAATGGATGTTTTTTTTGGGGGAATCATCGAGCTGGAGGGACTTTCCAGCCACGTTTGAAGCAACCGGAGGGGACATCTTTGACATGTGGGGTTGCTTCAAGTTGACTTTTTGGGCGCCTAAAGGCGCCTAGAGAAAACCACATGTTTAGGTTGACTCTTCTAAAACCTGCGGTTGGCAAACCCTTGAGGTGCAATCATGTGTTGTTTGATGGTCTTTGGTGTTTTTTTTTTTAGTGTTATGTATGTGGGTTTACTTGGTCTTTCATGGTTTTGAGTATAGCTGCTGGCAACAAACTAAGTAAAGCTACAAGAAACCGAAACCAGGTGGGACCGGCAACAGCCGCAGCGTGTTTTCAATTGCTTGGTCAGCAGCATTTCAGATCCGAAAACGCTGTGTTGTTTCACGTTTTTTTCATTGGTGTTCTTCGTTTTGGGTGGGTTTCGAGGTGGCGGTTTCAATTTTTGAAGGCATTGGTTGACCCAGTCTCTTTTGAAACAACACCCAGTTGGCCAATGAATGATCGCACAGACAAAATAAACAATCTTAAGCCAGTGTTTCACAATAAAAACGCTACCATCAATCACGAATCCATCATTTCCAGCATGTAAGTTGCTTGGCAACTATGCATCCATCCATTCCATTCCTTAACATAAAAATCACTAATTCAATGTTCAAAAACATTAATCACTATATACCCTCTGAAAAAATAACATCGACCCTGAAAATAACTCATTTCTGAGTGGGTTCACTCATCTTCCAACCCCCATTTGCCAGGCTCGAACTGTTAATTTACTGGAATGTACCCTCTGGTAAACGTTTACAGAACTATGGAAAATCCCCATTTTCAATGGGAAAATCCACTATAAATGGTCATTTTCAATAGCTATGTTTGACATAACCAGAGGGTAATTTCCATCCATCCATCCATCCATCCATCGAGGTCCTGCGGAATACCTTCATGGAACTGGTGGAGGATGGCTCCCCCATCGGTGGTTTCTTGGACGACCTTGGACCATCAACGGGAAAAAAAACACGTGACACATCTGGGAAGAGAATGGAAATTCCTGGGGAATATATGGGATATATATAATATACAAGTATATAATTCTATTATACAATACACACATATATATATATATAATTATTATATATATATATATATGTATAATTATATTATATTATATATAGGCCAACTTCATTTGATTGTTTTGTTTTCCATGAAATGATGGGCACTTAAACGACAAACATGAGGATTTCCCTTGCTGGAAAATCACCTAACATGCGGATTTTATGGGATATATAACCGACTAAAAATATGGTGTTCGATATACACAGTGTTCGGCACACCAAAAACTCGCTTCACGGCTTCAAATGATTGTTACATTTGGTCGAACATCAGAAACCGTGGTCATTTGTGTAGTTGATACCCTCTGGTAAACGTTTACATATCTCTGGAAAATCAACCCATTTTTAATAGGTAAATCAATGAACTTTCGCCATGTTCCAGTTCGCAAAGTGTTTACCAGAGGCAGGTGACGGAGGCTTCATGAAACCGTGATGGTCACCCAGCTGAGATAAAACTGATCTGAATCCATCCGGGAGCCTGGGATAAAACTGTCAGGCTAAATGGTGAAGCAACCAGTCTGACGTTCCGAAAGATTTCGATATATTATTTTTTTGGGGGGTATTCATACGGCGTACGGGTATTCTATCTTTGCCTGACTATAAGAGTAATATTCTATCTATTAGGTTTTCACTAGAAAGATGTGCGTTTTAGAGTCATGATCGATCCCGTTTGAATGGAAAGAACATGTCCAGTTTTTGAGTCAAGACTCTGCCTGAGCCTTGGTGTGGTGGCTACGATCGTTTCAGGATCATGTTTTAACATGTTGATCGGAGAATAGACTGGCTGGTTGCTGCAAAAAGTTTTTTTTTTCCTTTAGGGTATCCAAAATTAGCACTGTACCCTCTGGTAAACTAACATAACTATGGAAAATCACTATTTTTAATGGAAAATCAACTATAAATGACCATTTTCAATAGCTATGTTAAATTACCAGAGGGTATATAGACTTATCAGTTAAGATCAGCCATGCTGAGTTGAATCAATGGCGTCTGGCCATTGGAGGTCCCAATGGCCAGTGGTAAATCCCGCGAATCTTTCCCATGAATCCGGAACAAGGACACCTAACCAGATTTTTTTTAACAAGACGTAACAAAACCTACGGCAAAACCTCATTTTCCATAGATAAACCCGAAGAAGTAAGACTCCAAGACCAACAATAGCATTTAGACGAGCTCAAATTGAATAAAATTGAAGAAGAAAGAGCAACAACAAGTCTAATTCCATGTGCTATTTTTTCATGGAAGCATTCCTAGTTTTCAATGTACCCACTGCAATGATATTGCACCGCCAAGTAACCCAAAAATATAACACAGCTAGTCATGGCTAGTAGAAAAAAATATACACTACAAATAATACATATGTTTATAAACTGTTTATACGTTGCATTATTTGATAAAGTGTTGCGTTTACTAGGTTTACTGAGTAGGTTTATACATATGGTGGCTATTAGTATGTATTATAGCAACTCCCAAAAAGATGCCTAAAAGTGTTTCGAAGATGCAAGAAGACATGTATGTTTTCCACATCATATCTTCCAGGTTTCCAACTGCTCTGTCTTTTTTTTGCGGGTTGCTGTATGATAATGCCAAGATTTCTAGGGACTTTTAAGGCCTATTCAAGCAGCACAGAAGTGTGATTTTGAAGCTACCACACATGGGGATAAAAACAAACATTAGATAACAATCCATGGAGAATAACCCATGTTAGCTAATTTTGTGCGAATTGTTAGATAACAATCTGCCAAAATGGATATCTGAACAGTTATTAGCTAACAATTCGCACATTTTTTTCGGTTCCTGGATCGCAAACATGGACTCCGGTGCTTAGATCTGCATTTCAGTTAGAAATCCAGGAATCGGATCCCAAAACATATAAGCCCTGCGTGAGGAAAAAAACAGCCAGCTACTAGGCTACCGTCCATATGTATATAATATATATATATAGCCCTATATAAGCAATCTTTGAATATATGTATGTATATCTATCTATATACATATATATATATAATTATGTATATATATAATATATATATACATATGCTCTATATATCAGCCATTTTCAGAGAACCCCTTGCAGATCCCACCGGCTTTTCCTTTAGGCGGCACCTTTTCGAGCGGCGCCTTGATGCGTGCCAGCTCCGACTCGGCCCTCTATGAAGGCCATGGAAGCATGGAAATCCACGGCAAAACCATGGGATTTACCGTGGATTTTCCATGGATTTTCCAATGTTTTACTTATGGCAGCCATGAATGTTGAGGTTTTTTCGAATCCGAAAATGAGTTTTGGGATTATACTTGAACCTTAGCTTCCTTCGTTGTAGCGGAATCGATTTTGATCCGGTAGCCATCATAAAATGACCTTTTCACTTGGTGTCCGGGCCCCTCCCCCCAGTCTTTGACAAAGGAGGGAGCCTCATCATACAGTGACCATTTGAGGTACCTTTCTTGTACAAACCTCTGGGGGACCTCAAAAAGTTCATGGTTTCCCTACTCAAATAGACCAAAATTGATACTGTACCATCTGGTAAATAGAAAAAACGATGGAAAGATCCAGCATTTTCAATAGCTAGCTTAAATTACCAGAGGGGTAGATGAGAATTCCACCATTTGAGAAGAAGAAAATTCATCCTATGTTGACAGGGGATGACTTGTTTGGACAGTCAAAAAAAACCAGGTTTTGGGATCATGAAATCGTCAGAAACCCTCTGGTTATGTCCATAGCTATTGAAGCCATGGCCCAGTCGAAATAGGTGAGCTTTCCCATGAAAATCATGAAACATTCGGCTGGATTTTCCATGGTTTTTTGTTAACGTTTACCGGAGGGTAATTTAAAACGTCAACACAGATGGTGAAGCTCTCTTATATCCAACGGGACAATGACATATATTTGTCATGCATTGTCATCGTCAGGGTGATTGCCAGTGGGTAAATTTCTCCCGAATCATTAGTGAATGGTTTGATTTATTGCCAGACGTTGTTGAGACTGAATTAATTGATACATGAATTCCCATGATTTTGTTTGACATCAGCTAGACATCAAAAGGGGAACGTGTTCTTTTTGGATGACATTTCAACACATTTCAGGTTACTACTCAAAATCCGAGGTGAATCATGTGGTGAACCCATTCCTCTTGCTCATCCAGTAATGTGTTTTGATTCATTGCCTGATGATGATCCCAAATGACTAATGGTTGAATATCTGTCTGTCTGTCCGTCCGTCCGTCCGTCTGTCAATCTACAAATCTATCATTCTATCAATCAATCAATCAATCATTCATTCATATATGTATATATATATATGTATATCTGTATATATATATATATGTATGTATATATATATGTATATCTGTATATATATATATACATATATATATATGTATATATATATACATATATATATATGTATATGTATATATATATGTATATATATATATATGTATATATATATATATGTATATATATATATATGTATATATATATGTATATATATATATCTATGTATCTAATCTATGTATCTATCTATCTATCTATAACATATATATATACACACATATATTATGGTATATATTTTTTAGATGCCTTGAACGTACCCAGACTGGTTTATTTTTTTGCTACTGATCCCATGAGATTGCTTTGATATTCCGAATGTTGTTGGGTGATTTCCCATGGATCGCCAGGCTATTCCCCCAACAACGACGAGGCGTTACACGAAAGCGTTGCTTTTGTGAGGATCCTAAAATGGTACTGTACCATTATATTTCTGGCCATATTTTGTGGGGATAGTCTCTTACATAGGCCTAAACAATAGGCCTTATATATGGAATCGGTACCTCCAATGAATCGGTTCCCTTTTCTGGCCATTGAGTCAACGAATCCAAATTGCAATTTCTTGGCGATGTGATGTGCACTTCTTCGGTACGTTGGGACTCGCGGACTCGGAACGATTGCTTGTTGCGTGGATCTCGGCTTTTCTGTAGATTTAGCAATCGGAAACCCTTCTGGAGCTGAGGAAGTTTCCTTTTTGTCTGAGTTTAGAAGCAATAGAGAGGCCTGCAACTACATGTCATGGAAAGTCTAGGCCAAACTGCCACTAGTTGGCCATGTGGACTCAACACCAAACCCGGTGAAAAACCATATGGTCTTGGGAGGGTTGGAGACTTAGTTGCTGAAGTGATTCATCCGCTTTTCCAGATGTCCATGTCTTGCAATCCCAGCTAACAGGAGAGAAAACATAGCCAGATGTTTGAAACACAAATGGAGGTTTCCGAAAATCGGGGTATCCCCAAATCATCCAAGATGAACCTTTGCAAACAAAAAACAGTATGGTTTTGGGATCCCTCATTTTAACATATGTCCACTCCCTGTGTCTGTGGTCCCCATTTTATGATTAGATCCAATAATCTGCACCCAACAACAGCACCGATGTGTTTTTTCCCCATCATGGTTGGAAGTGTCCTATTAAACATTTTCGACCACGGTTCAGCGTTTTGTTGAAGGAACATGCAGGAACATCCTATAGGAAAAGCATGGTTTAAAGCCTAAACTTTCCCTTCCAGCAATCTAGTGATCCTTGGTTGCACCATTTCTATTGCTTAAACACTGCTCATAAACCATGTCCTGTGCATCAAAATCAGTGACTTGGCTCTGCCAGACTCCCAAGCATGCGGCTGGATGCAAAGAACCAAAAGAAGAGGACGCGCAAGAACGGTGCCGTGCGGGTCACAGGAGTAGAGATGGAACTGATTTTGATGTATTTTTATCTGGTTCGTGGTTTGGAACCATGGAATTTTATATTTTTCCATATCTTGGGAATGGAAAAATCAGCCCATCTGACGAAGTCCATCATTTTTCAGAGGGGTGGGTATACCAACCACCAACCAGTTGACGTATGGAAATTGGGTGTCTCCTAGGACATGATCCTAGTGTTTTTTCGCATGAGAAAAAGGATGGGGTAACGGGATGAACATGGTAAGTTTATGTAAGTTTGATGTATGTGGTTGTACAATGTTGTACATCACCTTCAAATGTGGTTGTACAATTTGTACATTGATCTTTCCTCTAGACCCGATATCTATGGATTCTGGTGAGTCGCAAAGCCTGGACAAGGGGCGAGGGGCAGCTACGACAACACCATGGTCTCTGCCGAAAAAAACAACATTTTTCCAGCTGCAATCACTGGGAGGACCTTAGGATGGGGCAGATGGGATTGTTTTTAATGGTTAATCTATGGTAATCTATGGTGTATATCTATGGTTAATCTATGGTAATAATTGGAATAACAATATATCTGGTTGGTGGTGACTGGAACATGGCTTTTATGACTTTCCATATCTTGGGAATATTCATCCCAGCGATCCCAAATTGACTTTCAGTCCATCATTTTTCAGAGGGGTAGGGCGAAAAACCACCAAGCAGATTTGGTTTTTAAGCTATGGTTAGTGGGAGATGGACAAAAAACAACCCATTGCACCCCCTAGTTGACCCATCCGGCCCGATTTTTCAGATCCAGCAAGCCTTTTTCAACATAAGTCGTACAAGAAATGGATGTTAGATATTACGTAACCCCAACAAAATATAGACCAAAACTTCAAAACCATTGAAACTCACATTTTACCACAGAGTTTGCCAAGTTTCCTAGGATGTTTGCCCTTTTTTAATGGGGCTGGGGGTTGCGCGCTTCGTTGAGCGCAGGAGTCTGGCCACTTTGAGTTTGAAATGAATGGCTGGAGCGACACCGAGACGAATCCTGACACCCAGCAACGTCGGGGTCGCAGTCGGATGATGCGATGGTCTTGGCCGCCAACAAGTCGATGGAAATTATAGAGGTAGACGGTGAATTTAGGTGATGGTCCTGTGATGTTCACAGGAAAATTCTATAATTATTCAAATTTCATAGGGAACATATATGAACAAAATATGTTTAAACTGCAGAGCTTTTGGAGTATAATATAATTCGCCTATTTTCAGTCAAGCACCATGTGGTTGCTGAGTTTCATCAAAGATAGAGCAAAGCCAGTGGCGAAACCTTTTGTTGGTTAGGCCAAAGGTTTATGTTTGTGGCTTTGAGCATGGAAGACTAGCAATCTCCAAAAAGAATCAACCATGCCAATATATAACAAATATTCCTAATAAAAGAATAGTGACGAATGACTTTTCGATTTTTTCGGTGGCTACTATATCCCAATCAGAAATAGCATATTGTGGTGGAGAGCCTAAGATAAAGCAACGGAAGTTGGTAAGGGAAACCCCAGCCCTGTCTGGAAATGGGGTATACCCCCAATTATGGCTATGTTTCTCATAGGGGAAATGATGATAAACTATGATAATTTTTGGGGTACCCTATTTTCAGTCAAACACATTTTTGCGTTGATAACTTTGTATACGTGTGGCTCACTGATGTTCAGTGGATACATTGAACCATTGAACGTGCTTATTCCACAAAAATTCTTCCTTTGTAGGATTTGTAGGGAATATTCGATGCGATGGTAACAACGACATATGAATATTTGGTTGCCGGAATTTAGATATCTACTCACATCCACATGTAGCCTTCAGATTTGACCTATTTGAAAAGGGTAGGATGGTTAGACCTGGTGGTGGTTAGAGACATGAATATTTCATCAATTTTTTGTCTTTGTTTGGCGTGTCTGATTTTGTGGGATATTCATGGGGATTTTAATGGACTGTAAGGGTTAATAACTAACCAACTGTAACTCAATGACATGTACTCATGTGCCTTGTGTTGCTGTCAATGCTTCAACTATATCTAGCACATGTGTTCGAACAAACAACAAAACAACATGTGTTTCGATGATGCCTTGGTGCTTGTCTATATTCCTTGGTATGCCGTTTGACGTTAGACAAGACTTGGAATCTAGGGGTTAAAACTTTCAATAGAATGTGCGTATTGCATATCATTTGACACACTTCATACACAGTTGCAAACTCAATAATAATGATAATGATGATGATGATGATAATAATAATCATCATCATCAATGTAGACAATGTCAAAAAACGATTTGTGTTTTAACCATCTGGATGATCGATGATCGGTTCCCAGGTGAGAAATCTCTGCCGTTGCCTTGCTACTCACACATCAAGGTGCCTGGTGGAGCAGTTCCGGGAAACCGGGATGCCGCAGCCGCAACGCGAAAAAACTTCGGGGGAAATAAAGCCATGTAAGGCCATGTAACCGCCCAATTTTTTTCAAAGATCCATTGGTTAATGAAGTATCATCATTCCATGAATTTCCTATTGAGATATATAATGATAATTTAATGCTGTATAGAATTTCAAGGGGTAGGACGCACATGTTCAGACGCACTAAATACGAGGTTCTCATGGATGACCTGACCTTTTCACAATAGGAAGGCAGGACAATGTATCAATGGATTGGTTTTGTTGGGAAAATCTTAACCGGAAACCATGGATTTTCCTACGAAATCTGGGGCTTTCCGGTTTCAATTTTCCCTTAAACCAATCTGGCTTGCTGGGTGGTGAACTAGTTGGCCTTAGAAATTCTGGTCTGAACCCAGAAATCCAGAGGTAAAATCTTGGGGGTTCTTAAAATGATCCCCAAAACCATGGGTTTATGGGTTTCATGGGTTTCAATGCTCAAATGGCTTTAGAAAGGTCTAGTCTTTGTAGATGATTTATGATGATTTGGGATACCCCCAATGGGGAAACCCCCATAGATAGCATATGATAGCATGCTCCCCACTTCACATGGGGACAATCCGTGGAGCTTGGGACGGAAAACTTCAGATCGGAGGTTAGAGTTCCTGGAGATGCTGAAGATGATTTTTTTTTATTTTCCCAATGAGAAATCCACCACTTGGAGAATCTGTAGGGAATATGGTTCTATTTCTTGGTTCCCTCGGCAAATCCAAGAGTATTTGATCGTAGCTTGAATCATCCTGAAAATTATGATCCACTCCTATATTAACATGCGCCACATGCGCCATGGTGAAAACTTGGGTGAATTGATGTAAATTGCCATGTCCTTGGAGAAATTGATATCCCCAAGTCCCCAAGGTATAACGATTTTCATGGCATAGGATGCACGACCAGAGGCCCCCAAGATTGTTTCTGTCTCTTTTCCTGGCAGGGCCCCGACATTTGGGTAAAACTTGGATGGTTAGTTTCAACTATACATATTATATTATATTATATTATATTATATTATATTATATTATATTATATATTTTTATATTACATATATATTATATTGTACTATATTTTATTTTATTTTATTATACTAGATTATATTATATTATAAAATGTACTAATCAGAGAAAACAAACTGAAGGGTACTTTTGTGGTGATCAGAAATTCAATCGTGATCCTACCAGGGGCCCGGTGTTTTCCTGAGGACTTTCCCAGCGGCGAAAGCACACCCTTCTGCACCGCGTTACCACCAGGCTGGATATCTTGGTAATCTGCTGCTTAGGTCCGAAGTGTCTCATTTTTCCAGCAGCAATCACTGGGAGGACCTTAGGATGTTCTGGGTAGATGGGAGTGTTTTTAAGCTATACCCTCTGGTAATTTGGTACATAGCGATTGAACATGGCCCAGTCGAAATAGGTGATTTACCCAGCTAGAAAATGGGTGGATTTTCCATAGTTATGTTAGTTTACCCTAGGGTAGATGTTGTTCGTTCACAAATTGCCAGAAGATGATTTGTTTAAATAGCTGCAAGCCAAATGAAGGACTCTTGTTTGGGATGCATTGCCAGATAGCTCCTCGTTTCATGGATTGGAAGCTCTGACATGTTTTGGGGCACCACCGTGTATCACCTTTGTGTTGTGTGAAATTCCTACTTACTTTGATTGTGCCAAAAAACACCAGGTTTTTTTGTGATATCCACAGCGCTGCAGGGGTGGTATGGAACTCTCATACCTCGGTGTTTCATGCCCAGGTTTGCGGGAGACCCGGAACATATGCAGGGAGGCCCCGGCCCCTTGTAAGTTGGTTTACTGTATACATGTTTATAACCTAGGTTTAGATTTACTGGGGTGTATACCAGATGTATCTCTAGTTACCCTCTCCCACAATTAACATAGACCATGACAAATAGACGCGTAGAGGACTAATTACTTTCCACTAAACACTGGCCATTTGCAGGGTCTATGTGAATTCAGGGGAGGGTAGATTGCTCAGTAAATCAACCTAAAACATCCCATGGGGCCGGCCAAAAATACCCAACGTACCCGACGTTTATTTACCAGGTCCAGAGTCAGACATGTGCATCGCTCGTACTCCTAGTCCGCGAGGCGAATGAGGGGGAACCCTGGGTGTATATCCCATAGGATCCATGGTGCTGGTATATATGCTAACATTGGGGGTATATTGATGGGATCCATGTTACTCGTACCATATATAGCAGCATACATGGATCCTATGGGTATGGAGGTGTCCAAAAACAAGGGTACACCAAAGCAGTGGTTTTTCCCACTGGTAATAAATCATTTTGGATGATTTTGGGGTACCCCCATGACTTAGGAAACCTCTATGTCAATACTTGTTAACATGCCCTATTCATGGTGATTAGTGGTTATTAATTTGATATACCCTCCAATGTCATCAAACGAGGCGCCCAGCAAACTAAACCTCCATTTACTTCGGGGGATTTTCAGCCAGCCATGTTGATTGCCAGAGGGTACCCATGAAAAAGCGTGATTTAACCAACGAACACGGTGGAATAGTTAGAGTATGTTAGAGTGTTCAAGCAAATATAAAGGTGATCATCTGGATACAAGAGTCACGAAAATCACGATGGTTGGTATGCGGGGAATCGCACCCCCAAAGTGGCCCGACTTTTCAGAATGAGATTCGGATATGATCAACAATATTCTATCCGGTGGTGAGTGGAGGGAACTGTTATAATCCGGGGTATGGTTGTATAATATGTTGTATCCATAATATGCCAAACAAACATGGGGCCAAGGAGCTACTAAGAATTTCCCAATTGCATGATATTACATTACAGATAGTAATTTGAGTGATTGTTCTGGCATGAAATGGAGGAATATCAGCTCAAAGCTGAAAGTTCTTTTTTGCTGCTGGGTATCCAAGGTTAGCGATGAATAGTGAGGAGCTGGCATAGCAGGCAAGAAACAAAAACATGTTTACACATGGACAAAAACCATTGGTTCTAAGCAACTGACTTGATGCTCCTGAGAAAAAACACCCGGTGCTCACACGGAATTCATTCCTTGTCTTCAAGGTGGTCCCCATACTTAGCTTATTCAATCTATAGCCGGGGGTATCTAGGATTCATGGTGAGTGAATTGTAGTTCAATGGATTCTTGAACCAACTCACATATCACTAGCGGACCCAGCAGATGGCGAATTTAAACGCTGGATGGAATCAGGTCGGATGATGGGGTGATAAACCCCTTCAACGTCTACATATTGTCCACCATGTATCTCCTAATCAGTCCTAATCATTGCAGTTGTTTGTTCCAACCCTAAACCCGATCGTTCCGGGTCAGAGTTTGTGTCCCTTTGAAGACGACCGGACGCCAGGAATGGATTGGCACCCCAGCGACTTTTGCGAGGCCTCACTTTTTGACCTTTCCATGGTTTTTTCCATGGTTTTTTTTTCACACAAATCATCCCTAAATGGCCGATGTCTTCAGTTTATATAGTGAAATATCACCCAGATGCGAAGCATGGTGCTGGAAGATTTTTTCCTACATGACTGGGCCATAAAAATGGGGTAAATGTAGGTAAATATTCCATGGAGCATGGTTCGCATGTGGGTTATAGTTACAATTTACCCAGATCTATTACTGTAGGTTTTTTTGCTATTTCAATGGGACAGTCGACCAACATGATGTGGATAGAAAAGTTGATACAATGGGGTACCCTCTGGTTATGTCAAACATAGCTATTGAAAATGACCATTTATAGCGGATTTTCCCATTAAACATGGTGATTTTCCATAGCTATGTTAGTTTACCAGAGGGTATATCAAGTAACAATACTGGTTGAATATTACGGAACGTAATCAATGATGTTCTATCCATGGTGATTGGAGTGAACTGAAACGGTGTATCCGAAAAAAAAAAACCCTGCGTATCCTATATTTGTGATCTATGAAAAACTGCACATCTACTTATGAGATCTTATGAGAACCCCTTCTGCACCCTCACGCCCAAGCCTTGCCAGGCAAATTTTACCCATTTGCAGAGGGAACCTTTGTCATATTTACCATATGATGTATCTAAAGAAACACACTGCTTATTGTTGTGTTTCTTTGTTTATTTTTTACAAGTTACCGTCCCCGCAACTAACAGTAACTAACAGTGATTCTACTGAAAATAAAAATAAACCTATAGATTCCTGGAAATATATAGTGATAGAGTAATATATCAATTAATTTATCTTCTATAATGTTTCTAGTGATTCTTAAATACAGTCATGTGGAGGTTTCCTCAAATAGGGGTACCCCCAAATCATCCATTCAAATGAAATAAAACATCCAGCTATTGGGGTACCCCCATTTCAGGAAACCTCCATATGGTCTATATCCTCTGGTAATTTAATATAGCTATTGAAACCATGGCCATAGAAATAGTTGATTTTCCCATTAAAAATTGTGTTTTTTAAAATAGTGACTTGTTAGTTTACCAGAGGATAACCGTCATATATCCCATCGAATCCCATGAAAATACCATAAAAATGTCCAATCAAATCCCCATTTATAAAGAGGATAATGGTAACCGTTTACCAGTGATATACTACGATAAGATGTGATACGTTTCTGAGGCTCCCTTGAAGGACGAAGACTTCAGGCCATTTTTCATGGGCATCGGGGGCACTTTGTTCGGAATGACGTGGGGAAATTGCTGGGATAAATGGAGAGAAACATGTGATGCTCGTGGGATGAAAAAAGATTCAACAAGAATCATTGGCTTAGACCCATTTCTGGTTAATGATGGTCAATAATGATGGTTAATAATTAATAATGATGGTTTATATCTGGTTGGTGGTGACTGGAACCATGGAATTGTATGACTTTCCATATATTGGGAATGGAAAATCATCCCAACTGACGATTCGTCATATTTTTCAGAGGGGTAGGGCTCAACCATTTGGTTACGGAGTCAATTATTTAGCCACTGATAATATCTAACCCAAATGGTCACTCAGTCAACTGATTATACCACTGATGAACATTGGAATTATGCCAGTTAGTCAACCGACTGGCTAGATAGCAACGAGTATGTACATGTATGATCATGTATGTACACGTTGTACCTTTTGTAGTGGTAACATGTACATTTTCCAGCAAGAACTTGTTTCTTTTGGCAGGTATCCAAGATTCACCATGATTATAAGCATCAAACTATGTGGTGATATCAGTGATGAATGACTGTTGGTCAATGATGTGTCTTTTTCTACAGAAAATAAACAACTATTCGTAGGAGCCACATTTTGCAGAAAGCCAACAGTTGGTATTCTGTACTTGTAGGTGGTGTAATAGGGATTCTTACAACCCGCAATGGGTAAAGGCACAGATTTGGGTCCTAAGAGTGGTTGATCGCTGTGGGAATCTGTGTCAGCCAACACATAGAAACATCATGACATACATGTAGCTTTCATTATGAAACGCCATCAAATCACGGTTAGACTACCAATTGTAATTTATATACAGTATACTAGTTTCCAGAACTTCTTTGAACACTGCTCAGCATGGTTATTGGCTAATTTCCCCTTTTTTGGCGAAATCTGCATTGTGTTTTGGTGATATCGATATCTTAACATGTCCTCGTCGCAATCTCATTTGTCATTTCCAGCTTTTGGAAATCAAATCGATAGATTTGATGAACCAATGTGGGTAGATCCAACGGTTTGTTGGGGGTATAAACTGATGATGATATAACTTTATTTCCATAAAAGGTGGGGCTTATCCTTGGTCTATGTTGGTTCAAGTTCACCCTTTATGAAAACTCGGGCTGAATATGTCAACCATAAAGGGAGTTATTTGAGTTTACCAAGCTAGCTATTTACCCACCCTGTAGGATTCGTGTTTTGTGCACTTTCAAATGGTGGGTAGTACCAGATTGGAGAATGCTGGATCGTGAAAAACAGATAACATATCTGGAATTTCCACTCCTTTGGATTTGAGCACATGATTTCCAACTATACCAATCTGGCATTGGAAAAGTTGTATTGTGTAGATAAACATTGATAAACTCTGATTCAAACGATGTTCAGAGCATGCCCATAGCGACAAAAGATGGGTACAACATGGTACAACACACATCGACGATGCACAATTCTTGGTACTCCATGAACTGGAGATGGAAGCGCCCTGGCAGTCGAAATGTGCAAAACTTTCATCAATTATTGTAGTTGATGAGATAGTAAAAATCATATGGATTCATATATGTATAAAACAATGATAGTATATCTCCATGAAAAAATCTATGATTTTTCCATGTAAACGATGTTGTATCCGATCATAGATGCTATAAATTTCTTCGAATTTTGACCAGGCCCTGGTCCCAAGTTGGGATTGTCTGTGTAGATGTGTCCCATATCGGGACGGCGCATCATTGCGGGATTCCCATGATGGATACGGGCGCCCGTTATATGGTACCTATACTTAGCTCCATTTTAGGCTTACTGGTGCGTTTTACGTAGGGAATGGATGGGTTGCTGGGGGTTGCTGGGATGATGACATAACTAGTGATGACGATTATGGATCATTCCCGAACATTCCCTGCGTTTAGCACCCGTAAGTAGGATCCTGAAATTCCTAGTGATTATGTGATGGATAAAAAAAAACGCAAAAAACGCAAACCTCTCATCATGGCTCGCAGGTTAGTGTAGATGCTGCAAGACCCCCATCAGATTCCATGATATCATAACGACCTCACTGCGACCGAACCCTGGAATCATGGTTTTCATAAGGGCAATCATTCCCAAATATCCCAACATTTTTTTTCAGGTTTGTGAATTATTATAAAACTTGCCCTGATTTTTTCTATCCGATCAACATAAATCCAGAAATTGTCTCCACATCTCAACGTTGGTTGCACATTGCATTTCTATCGATAATCAACAATAGTTGGAATATTACGGGAAGACTTTCTAGGAAATTCTAGGAATATATTTGAGCTCTATGAATGGTGAATAATGGTGATCATGATGGTTGTCATGATCATCACAATTAGTCACCATTATACTGTAATTATGATTGTAGTTATAAAAGTTATATCCCATGTGGATAACCAGTATAAATACATAGCCCTATTAATGGTCATTAAGAATACTTTATCCCTATGGGGATTTCCAATCCATGGGGGTACCCCAATTTTTATCCATTTTAGTGCCAGGGATTTTCCCATGGAAATCAACCATCCAGCGAGCGCGGTACCTCCATTTTCCTTAGGAAACCTCCATATCCAGGCCCGATCCGTTGCCGGGGTTGGCTCCCCCATCAGTTGGCAGAGCTCAGATGGATGTTTGGTGGGCGGTAGAGATCGGATCCATAAAATGGGGATACAACGGGATGTTACCCTCTGGTAATTTAACAGTTTGCTATTGAAAATGGCCATTTCTAGTGGATTTTCCCATTAAAAATGGTGATTTTCCATAGTTTTTTGTATGTTTACCAGAGGGTAACCGAAAATGAGGAATGAATGGGATACTGATTTGGGTCTCCTTCAATGGATATGGAATATCAGATAAAATGGGGAAAACATGGTAAATTATAACGACCTCACTGCGACCTCATTGGAATGATGGTTAGTATGGGAAACAATAGGGAAATCATTCTCAAATGGCCGAACTATTCAGGTGAGTGAACTATTATATTTTCCCAGATTCATAAAATTGGGATACAATGGGATGTTAATAATAGGGTGATCATCAGGAAATCCAGCAACAGTTGGTAGCTGGCGGATCAGATTTTAGTCCCATTATACAAACAATGTTTCGTAGTGACCAAAAGTCACCCCTGGTGCAGGATTCCGTCCATCCACCTTTTTTTTGACTTGGCACCTTCCTGAGATATAGGAGTTTCATCCGTTTCGAGTTTCATCCTTTGGGTCATGACTTCTTGCACAACACATCCATTCCTTTGGGTATCCCATGGTAAGCCGTTTCTTTTGGATGGTGAAGACATGTGAAGACCCAGAATGTGGGACGCTGTGGAGCCAAGGCCATCAAGATGTTTGATGTTTTTTGGAGACCCAGGGACCGGAATCCTACAATGTGCCCCCCCCCCAGTGATGTGAACGTTGGTTTAGATTCGCCCCAGTATCTAGTTCGTTATTTGCGTACCATAAACCATAGTGAAATTGGAGTTATTTGCACCAACTTAGCTATCGAACGGGGGCCTCACATTGTAGGAACATGAGACAAAAGCACAAACCATCGAGCGCATTGTTGGGGCTAGACAAGGTTAGACACCACACTTCAACCCCTTGATGAGGTTTGCACAACATGTTCACCATCCTGTTTTTTTTTTAATGAATGTTCTGTTCTGTCAACCCATTTCCTGCTTTACAATCTAATCAAAATCAGTGTTTCAGTATTTTCTTTATGTCAATGTATATCATGTTATCCAATGGTTTGGGTTTTGATCATCGGTGCTTTAGATCCCTCCCCCCATAGACACCATAGACCTTGCCGTAAGTCGGGGCTAGGAAGATTAGTACAGGATGGTGCCCCCTCAGTTATTTTGGTTTATAGATGTTGATATTTCCATCTGAAGAAGATACTTATCAATTATCTTATGAATGTCATACACTATTGCTATTCTATAACGATCTTAGTTATAGCCATGGTTTATAACTATATAACAATAACACTATACTTTAAAATATCACACACTTTGCTAACTATAGATGTTTATAGCCCCATCTGAACATACTTATAACCATTGAATCATACACTATATCTAGAGTTGGTGGTTTCAAAGATTTGGATTAACTTTTTTTCATATATGAGATGTCATCCTTCCCAACTGACGAACTCCATTTTTCAAGATGGTTATTGCACCAACCAGACTTAGGGCACCGCCTCCATGGGCGCGGGCGACAAGTCCGCTGCCTCCAAACAGGACGGTTTCTTTCGGTGGCAGATGCTGTTTCTGTGAAACAACGTGTTTCGTGTTATATAAGAACGTTCTCATAGGTATATGAGATACATACCCAGATGCGAACCATGGTGCTGGAATATTTACCTACATTTACCCCAAAAATGACCAGAATGCAGGTAAATCTTCCGCATATGGGATATATTATATGATGTATACATACGTATACATACAGCTATACAATAAATGAATACACGGTTGAACAACAATATATAGGTTGTTTTTGTGAGTTTGTTGATTTTGTTGTTCTTCCGAATCTGTACTTATTTAGTTTGTTTTTGGGTGGGGTATTCTAGGAACATCCAGATGGTTTCTCATTAAATCCATATATTGGGGATGTAATGGAATATTTGAAAAAAGTGTGTAAATGTCCATAAATTTCCATTATAGGAGCTGGCAATAAGGTAGTATGATGGGATAGGATAGTGTTGCAGTCTCGTTCTATTAATTCCGGTGTTTGGTTTATACAATGATAGTGATATTGTTCGTTAATAATGTTATGATAGGGATATAATAGAGGGCTGTTTAAATCATTTTAGATCGTTATATTTTCATATAATTGGAATATAATGGGAAATAGTTGTCGTTTGTTTTTTGGAACATTTGAGGAATAACATCAAAACACATGGTTATTAGGGGAATTGTCCAAACGCTGCGCATCAAAAATCAATGGGTATATAGCTATAGCAACGCGAGTTGTAGTTAACAAGCCCAAATTGGGATTTTTCTCGATCAAGTATTTTTACACATTAGCATCCCCATATGCTCCATGTATGGTATATTTACCTACATTTGGGTGATTTTTAGGGCACATGTTGGTAAATATTCCATACATGGAGCATATGGGATCCTTAGCCGAACATTGGACATAGATATCCATCATACCAACGAGGTCAGGTCCAGATCCCAGAAAAAGCGACCATTTTTTCGAGCCAAAACGGTTCAGGCTGATGCAGAGGTGTGTTTGAAAAGAGAAAAAAATTGGACATTTCCGAGGTCAAAAAGAAAGATCAGAAACTGGTGACCTGGTGGAATATAATGGAATCTCATTATTTTTACCCTCTGGTAAACGTTTACAGTTTGCTATTGAAAATTGCCATTGAAATAGTGAGTTTTCCCATTAAACATGGTGATTTTCCATAGTTATGTAAACGTTTACCAGAGGGTACATTTTTGTTTAACCAAATGGTGTTTTTTTGGGGTGGAGATTCTGCCATCCAGCTACAATCCCAACTTTCACAGGATTCTCGATAGCCAAATCTCAGGTTCAACTCGCCGCTTGTACTTGGCTCAACCAATCCAGGTTTTTCTGGGCATTATGAACCAGCAAACCATAGATATTTTTTTAAGGATCTCGGGATTTGATGGGATCTATGATGGTTACCCTCTGGCAATCCAACTTTGGACAATTCCATGCCTGATTTTCCCAAATTTCGACCATTTACTCGGCCTATTTTCCAGCCATGTTTGATTCGGGCAACAAAAACCAGCCATGTTTGCAGGTCCCAGAAATTTTCGCCCCAGGCCCATTCCAAGTTGGGAAAAATCATGTCTTTTTTAAAGCCGCTGCTGATTTGTTGTTCCCCAAATTTTGGAGCAACATCTACTATATTTCAAGTATTTTCAAGTCATGTTCCAGAAAATCTCGCGAACATCCAAAATTTCAACTTTCAAATCACTGGACTTTCGCATATTTTCGCGAGATTTCTGGATGACCAGGCGTCATATGACCCCAAAGTGGCGATACGAAAAAAACACGGCAGGACTTACAACGCTTGGCGGCGGAAGTGGCTCGTTTGGCTCAGGACTGTGAGCTGCAGGTGAAAAACTAACATGTAGAGCCGTTAGTTTTCTGTTAGTTTTCTGTTTGAACCATTTTGAACCTTTATTGTTTTTTTTTAAAGGATTTTTTTTGGGCAAGTTGAAACCATTTCTGTTGAAATATCACATTTAAAAACCTGTGGTTTTTGGCAGCCTCATTCGGCTCTTCCGAGGAGAACGAACTTCTTCGTCAGCGCGTGCTTCAGCAGGAGTCCGACGCTTTGGCGCTCAACATTTATCTTGTGGATTTAACGGTTCATATGTTAATGTTTTTTCAGGAAGATGGAGATCATATTCATGAACATATAATATATATATATTATATACTATAATATGTATATATATAGATATCAGCTTCGCATACCTCATAAAATATTGAAGTGTTAAGAAATTCACAACATACCTGACTAATATTGTCAGTTTTCACCAAACGCTGAAGATTTTGGCGTTTCTCGATGGCTTTCTCCACCAGGATCGCACAGAGGATCCCATTGACACGCCGCCCAATGGTCCTGCGGGACCTGCGACCGTGACCACACCCGTTGCGCCCGTTGCGCCCAACGCCACGGCACCGTGCGGCGGCTCAAAGTGACGCCTAAGAGATATGGCGGAGATGGCACATGTCAATGGGTTGATCATGATTTAAGTAAATTTAAGAGTGATTTAATATGATTTCATGATTTTAATCGTGATTCAATAGTCATTTAATAGTGACTGAGTATTAGTGGATTATTAATGGCGATATTAATAGTATCATATTGTATATTTTTTTTCTATGTTTTTTTTGATATGACAGGTGTCAATGGAGAATCCAATTTCAACAGGCTTCATGGTGGATAAGTCGAGGTACGACTCTACAATGTTTGGGGCTTTCACATCGATGAAGCAACAAACATCACTGGGGGGTCGCCACCTTGTAAGCGTCATATGCTGAAGTTTTCCCCGAACTTTCGCACACAGCCATAAGTTTTTTCTTAAAAAAACTATGTTTGACTGTTTGAGGTTCAGCAAGTGTGATATAAATTTAAGCATCATTTTATCAATACCACATTGAACAGGATTTGACAAACGATAAATGTGGTGAACCTCAAGAAAGAGGCTTAACTTCAAGAGAAGCATGAAACAGTGGGAGTTCATGGCGGCTCAGCCTCACTCTTGGGAGTATGTGGGCATAATTGGGTGACAGTTCCCCCATGGACACTGTCAAGCGTAAAAACATGTTTTCAAAAAATGGGCAAAACAAGTTCTAGCCTCTGGTAAACTATTATAACTATGGAAAATCAGCATTTTTCATCGGAAAACTCACTATTTCAATGGCCATTTTCAATAGCAAACTGTAAACGTTTACCAGGCCGGGTACGTTCCAAAAGCTCCAGATTTGCCATGCAGAAATACCTGGTAATTTGTTACATAGCGAACTGGAAAACTGGAAAATGGCGTCGAAATAGTGGATTTACCTATTAAAAATGGGTGGATTTTCCATAGTTATGTTAGTTTACCAGAGGGTATAAAGAGAAATATCAAATGGGCTATTGAATCACTATTAAATCTATTAGAAATAGTTGACACGGCTATTGAATGCACTCTCTCACTCTTCCCTCTCCGGCAAAGCAATATATATATACCATACCACGTGTCTCGACTGAGCCTGCATCCAGTGAGTGAAGTCGACATCTTGTCGTCCAGCATGCTGTCCACTGCGAAACAACATCCAATGCAAAAGCCAAAAGACCGTTTTTCCCAACAACTACCCAAAAAACATGTTTCCAGTAAAGGTTTTCACATGTTCTGAATCCTGGTTCTCAAACCTTTTACGTTGCTCACACGGAGTCAAAACGAAATTTGAAACACAGTATCTTGTTTGATGCCTTTTGACGGTCTTTCTTAGATGCCCTCCCAAAAAACCTTTCGCTAGTTACCGTATTAGTGTGGTCCTGCTGCGTCCTTCCAAGTTGCTTCAAACATGTTGGCATGCTCGAGGTGCAAGGTCCAAACTTTCTGGTCGCACAAATTGAGAAACGTATATTGACACGATGCCCTGTGCAATAATACCTCTAGATTATACGATTGGTTTTCTTGCCAAGGAACTAACCCTGACTCTTTCTGGCATAGATGCACCAAACAAAATTAAGAATTTTCTGGGGCGGTCCAAAATGATATACAGTAATATGACTGCGCACTTAGCCGATCTTAGCCGTAGTGACATGTAGTGACTACGGCTCTAAGTTCTAAGGAACTGCATGTCTGACCAGGAGTGTTTCTGCGGCATTCCCAATATGGGCAACACATGCATGTCTATAGTTATGTAAACGTTTACCAGAGGGTAAATTCCACTAAATCATCCTTTTTTCATAGGAGCTGAAGGATTTCCGAAGCGGAGCTGAGGCAAGATGGCATGGGATGGGCAGTTTTCATGCCAGCACGGGCGCCTACCGACAGAGACGGGGATCAAGAACGCGGATCAAAAAGAATTCGAAGGTGTGGTAAGTGGTAATCTGGTTGGTGGTTTGGAACATTTTTTTATATTTCCATATATTGGGAATAATGATCCCAACTGACCAATATTTTTCAGAGGGGTTGGTTGAAACCACCAACCAGTAATTCTATATAAGAGTTCTTGTAGTTTGACATGATTTGACTCTTTTACTGTCTTGTCAGGTTGAAGGGTCAAAACTGTCTTTTTGTACCAAAATGCCTTCATGGTCAGATGTATTGCATGCTTATCGCACAGACTCCCCCAATTCACATCTTTGTGAATTTCGTTGGGATAAAAAAAATGGTTGCACATTTTGTGCTTCATGGCTCAAGGCATTTCCTAAACGGGATCTTTCGACACGCGGCGTCTGTATGCCCTTGACAATGCCGTCGATGTCATCCCTGAACCCTTGTGTTCATGCTGAAATCTATTCCATGGGTTCTGAATTTCACTCTCTACGCTAATATCGCCTATGCTACTGTCGTCGAGAGCCCCTTCAATGCTCTCAACAGTCGCTCCGACATCAGCTGCTGCAGCAGGATTTCCCGCCACATTAACCAGGCCTTTGCCTGAATTTGATCCTCGCCTCATGGATGCAGAGCTACTGCCAGCGCTGCCAGAGCCCGACTGTCCCGTCATTCTTTTTGAGATAGGCACCACGCCAGTGCTCGATGCGCCTGCAGTGCCCGATCGTAATGGCATACTTTGGCTTGAAGATGCTCCAACACCAGTGCTCGATGCGCCAGCTGTGCCCGATCGTGATGGCATTCTTTGACATGAAGATTCTCCCACGCCAATGCTCGATGTGCCAGCTGTGCCCGACTGTGATGGCATACTTTGACATGAAGATGCTCCTGAGCCCGATGGTGTTCTACTCCTCATTGATGAAGTTCTCATCGGACCACTTCCCGCAGCTTCTCCACACTTCTGATCATTTCGGTCTTCACTTTGAGACTCATGTTGTTCTCGCAGTGGATTCATCTCTGGTGCTCTTTGGAATCTTTTCAAGCAACACTTCGAAGCTTCCACCACCAATTGTCCAGCATAAATGGCACCCAAAGCCATCAAGACAGTCCCCACAATGAAGACCCAATCCACATTCTCGATTTCAGCCTCTTCCAACTCCGACCCCTTGGCCTGAGATAGCAAAAGACTTCCAGCAACCAACGCTTTGATCGCCACTGAACCTTGTCCACCTCCTCCATTCTTTTGTGATCCCAAACCGAGATCTTCTTGTTCTTTTTGATTCATCCCCAAATCCTGGACGAACCTGGCAAAGGATTGCCCTTGTAACGGCTTTGTAAGGCCGTCTGCCACCAGCTCAGTGCCTCGTAGGTGAAGCAATCGCCAAAGCCCTCCAGGTGCTGTTCCATCCAAGGCCTCCTTGAGGTATGAAGATCGAACACGAAGATGACGTGTCCTCCAGCTCGAAGTGCCAGTGCCATGCGCCATAGAGATCGCAGCTGCATTGTCGCCATAGATCACTCTTTCAATGGCGTTTGTACCAACCTGCTCCTTGATCATTGCGCAAATCATCGCTTCCATGGATCTTCCCACATTCAGCGCTTCACAATAGCCGACCAACTCTGACTCTGCTGTGCTGTGGGTCACGAAGGCCTGTTGCGATGATTGCCATCCAATTGGCACCCCTGCAAAGAACACAAGAAGTCCCTGCAAGCTCCTGTGCTTTGAGCCTGCTCCAAACGAGATGTCAGAGAAAACCTCCAACAGCTTTCCGCTTCTCTCGATCTTCAGCTGATTCCTCTTGCCCCATGTTTCGGCTGAAACTCCTCGAGGATAGTGAAGTCCTCCTTGATTTCCATGGACATACTGCATGATGGCGTTTGACACCTCGATGGACTTGAGAGCATTCTTTGTGCACAACCTACACGCTGTTGCCACTGCCATTGCAATGTCAGGTCTTGTTCTGGTCGATAACCAAAGTAATGCCCCAGCCATCGATTGCGCCTTCTTCACATCGCTCGGCAAAACTTCTCCATCAGGCATGTCATCGCCTTCAGCAAGATGAAACCTTGGAAAATCCGACGACTTCTCAACCTCAAATCGTTGAATCATCTCCTTTTCATACTTCTTTTGGCTTACAATGAAGCCATCTTCACGGCCCTGTTCATCCAGAGCGCCTTCAACTTCAAAACCGCAGTATTTCACCACTTTTCCCTCCCCCGTCTTCTCCACATCAGAAATGGCCCAAACTTCAGAGACCGCCTGTGTTGCTGCATCTAACGTTGCTTCCTCCGCTACAATCAGAAGGTCGTCAACGTAGACCGACATCAAGCCCACCAATTCCACCTTCCCTGTTTCGTGGTCAGTTTCCTCCAGCCGCCACACATTTTCATCAGGGGTTTTTTGGAATCTTCCCGTGACTTTTCGGCCTTGAAGTTGTTGATGCCACTTGATGGTTGGAAGAACTTCATCTCGATATAGGCTCCAGTCTCGAGGTGATGTGGTGAGCCCATAGATGGCTTTGTCAATGAGCCACACCTCGTTGGAGTCCGCCAGGCCAAGCTTTTTGAACACCATCGGTATTTCCATGGCCATAAGGCGGGTTTCGTCTCTTCGGGGGGCGTTCAAAAATGCTGTACGTATATCTGTACATCCTGCTGTCCATGACTTCATTGCACCAAGCCTCAGCATCGTTCGAATCTGATTTCCATCCACACCTCCAGCGTAGTGCTCAGATTCATCAGGGCCAGCATAGTTGCCACACACCACTGCCCTGCTTCTGTATGCACCGCTATAGGCCTTTCTTGTATGCACCATTTTCGCTGGTAAGAGCTCAATGGGCAACTTGCTCTCAGATGAAAGTTGTTGTAGATGCTGCTTGGTGATTTGCCGGACAGCGCACTTTTGTGTCACCAGCTGGTCATATTCTTTCCGGATTGATTGTTCCCAATCCTTCAAATTGGCCCAAACCTCCATGTTCCCCACCGTTTTTGTCACGAGGAACTCTTGCTCCAGGTTCTTCTGGACCTTCTCCTCCCCCAGCTCCTTCGCTTCAACCAGCTGTTCTTCCACCAAAGACCTCATCTTGATGGCATTCGTAACCGGACCAATCCATAGTGCTTGATCTTCTGATGTTCCATCCAGCATCGTCATCTCGTCCTCCACATAGTGTGTCAAGTTGACATGAAGGGCTCTCAAGGCTGCTGAACTTCCACTTCTTGGGGCCGTTGGGCGTGAGCCACCATCCCAACTGTTTGGCGCCCCCTCCACATCCCCTCCACCAATAATCCATTCCTCCTCCTCATAGTTGACAGCCTTTGGAGAGCTCTCCTCTGATGCTTCAGAAGACTCCATAGTCCAACTGTCACTTGAAGTTCCAGGGTGGTACGCCATGATCGGTTCAAATTTGTCAGGACATGCCTCTACTATGCGCTCCTCCCCCTCGATGTGAAACATCGAAACCACTGGTTGAATTGCTTTTCGTCTTTGGCGACGAGCTGGTGCATCATCAGCACGCTCAGGCAGATACAAAACTTGTTCCTCTACCCCTGGTTGTTGAGGGTCTGGGATGATGATATCATCAGTGAAAAACCTGCGACCACTGTCTTTGGACTGCACCAAGTACCCAGTGTTGGTCAATGATGAATTCATGTCAGGGCCAAGTATGGTCACCTCCTCCCTCACCTCTCGCCAGGGTGCGTATCGTGCTTGCCACGACTTTCTCAAAGCAAAAGCTGTTGCACCAAACTTGAGAAGTCTGCCGACTGGCCATCCAAGCAGCTGCAGTTGTGCTCGTAGACGTCGCTCTCCAATGTGGCGCGCAATCAGCGGCCATTGGGTCAAAGTCCCAAGTTGTGCTGAGATGAGTGTTCTGATGGATTTTTTCACCATGTTCATCTCACTCTCCACCCTCCCGTTGGCCTTGTAAGAACTTCCAGGTGTCATAGTTGTGATCACATCTCTTGCCAGTGTCCATGACCGCACCTGTTCAGAGCAAAACTCTCGTGCCCTGTCAGAGTGAAGGCGGTACAAGGGAAGACCAAGACTTCGAAGGCGACAGTAAATCCTGCCAAGAGCTGGAAGCACATGCTTTACCGCCCGCGACCGCACTGGCTCAACAAAGGTGATCTGTTTCACCGCCACATTTGTTGCTTCCTCCACCAGCTTGTGCCACGTCTCACACATCGATTTGGCGGTCTCCACATTCCTTTCTTCTGCATCTTCCATCAGCTCATCCTCCTCCGGTAGTGGTTGATCTTCACCAGCATCTTCCATGGTGACCTCTTCCACTTCTTCGTCTAAGCCTGGCAATGGCTTGTCTTCTTCCTCATGTTCTCGGCCAGGAACTGGGATGATGGAGGCTTTATCTCTTGTGACGGGCATGGTGTAACATCCCACAAGGATATAGCGACACCCCTTGACACCCTGATCATCACCAGGAGATAGTTTGCCCGATAGGTCTACGCTGAGGGTGAAAGCTTCAGCATGTTGAACTCGTTTGTGAGGTTTGCTCCTCGCCTGTGCCCTGACACATTGGACACAATCTCTCCTCGCAGGCATATGGTCATTGAGGAAATGACGTCGCCATTGTTCAAGCGCGACTGCACTGAGAGCTTGCACTTTTGGTTGTGAGGGTCGGGAGTCATGATCACCTGGTGGCACTTCGTCCCCGGTGTCATACCGCCTTCCCCCACGGGATTGTACTGAAAAAGGTTCATGTGATTGCACTGAAGAAGGTTTGTTTTGTCTTTGAGGGCCATCATCCTTTTGTTGTGGTAGATAATGTTTGGCCTGTGGGGCTACTCCATAAACACTCAAACCATTAGTGGCATCTCTGCACTCCAAAACCTGGAGTTGTTGTTTGATTGCAGTTGCTATTGCCAGCTTCAAACCTGGTGCCCATGTCGCCCACATTTTGGATCTTTCGATTCTCCGTTCCAAAGGTTGCCCACGCAGATCTTCAGGAGGAGATTTGGGTG